ATTAAATTTATGCATGAAAATGGTGTTGTTCATGGGGACTTGAAGCCTGATAATATATTTATCTCAAACAAAGGAGATGTTAAAATCGGAGATTTTGGTGCCGCTGTGGAAACCAAAAGAGTTCCCTCACGATTTTCTATAAGAAAAAAAGAAGCTACTTTAGACGAATATCCCCATTCTCGTAAAGACTATGGGTTTACTTTTACATCAAACTATGTTGCGCCAGAGCGTATAAATCCAAAATCTGTTGAGCCAAACGAATTTAAGGACATACTTATCAACCACGCAAAGGTTACATGGAAATGAATTAGGCAAAAACCCGGAGAATTGAAGTTTAAGCTCAAACCTAACTCTTTTCCCACCAAAGAATCTGATATCTACTCTTTTGGAGTTACCTTTGTTTGCTTCCTTATCTCTAGAAATGCAGTCAGGTACGACTGTACGTATTTTTCTTTTAAAGAAGAGGCAGGAAATGAAAATTATACCGATATCTTGAATTTAATAAAAACCTTTGATATCAATTTGGCTACAATCATTAACAAGGCTCTTCATTCATCTCCTAAAAAAAGGCCCACTATTCAGCTGGTGCTTAAATGTTTCGAAAATTTATCATGTTGCACTGATGCTGAATTTGAAAGTGCTGCAGCAAAAATTCAAGAGCCTAAAATGACTCCTTATGCAAAATAAAGGTCTAAAAATTCACCACGACGGCCAAATATTATGAACAAAATTCCGAACAATAAGAAACTGTTCGTAAATAAAATTATCGGGTAAAGTTTCTGAGATCAAAATCGACTCGAAATACCAAATTCTCTTTTCATGGGTACCTATAATTATGTAGTTCATTTGGAACTCGATTAGCAGTTTAAAAGCATTTTTGGCAGATAAATCGAGTTTTTGTGGCTCATCAACCACTACATAAATTTGGCGCCAAAGCATTCTTTCATATCCAAAAAATCAAGATGATTCGCCATCATACTTCATCAGCCAATTAGGAGTTTAGCCATCGACCGGTGTCGCATTGGAACGTAGCTTAGTATAGGTGATGCTCGACCTAAACATACATTTAAAGAAACAACCCCATGCCACACGATAACCTAACGCTAAATCTATGAGATTTAGCCCTAAAGTTGTTGTCTATAATGTAATCAATGTGTGCTGCATCCAAATTGATAAATGCCCTTTTCTGGCCAAGTTTATTTAGGACTATTAAGTATCCTTTCATTCTTCACATGCCAGTTATATATTCGGGAAAGGTTTACTTCGACCGTTGTGATTTGCTCTCGCAAAAATCCGATATCATGCTCAAGTTCAAGGACTGTTTTGTTGGATGTTGCCAACTTTTGCATCAAAAGATGCAGAGCATCGTCAACATCATATGACATCAGAATGGAAGCCCCAAGCCACAGAAAAACCGTTCTGGATGGCTTTATGGCGGCTTTGAGGAAAAGAGTATCTGCCAACTCAAAATCGATGTCAAGCGCGGTTTCATCCCGGATACTATTTTTCATTAGGAGCACCGAATCGATGCTTTTTTCGATTTCAGGGATCTTGGCAAGGATAGCCGAATGTTTTTTGACATGGTGGGCGGAAACAAACTTATACTTGCTAAAATGTCATCCATACAAAAAATGCCTTAAAGACTCCTGCAGTTGTACCAGGGAATCCTCAACCGCAAGTTTGGGATCTGAGCTAAAAGATGGCTTTGTGGAGAGATATTTGTGCACATCTTCCTATAATTTATTTTAGAAGATAAATTTACAATAAATATGGCCTTGGGTATTCCATTGGGCCCAACAGAGCTGACCGCGATTGACATCAATTGAAAGCAAATAAAGTTGAAAGGGATTCCAATTAATGCCCCCCCCCCAAATAAATTGGGAGTTCAATTTTTTAATTAATGTCAGGTATTGAACATCTTCCATTAATAAGGGGCCCCGTTTCCCAATACAGAGCCAGGTATCAAAGTTTCACATTCTTGGGCTCTACAAGCTTGAACTCATCAAAATTTTCTTTTTCCTCTAGGGCATTTAGCTCATATCCTCAGGATAATTTCGCCGATCTTTTTGCCCGATCTGCTTTTGGTAAACTTTCGCCAGAGGCAAATCAAATGATTATCATCGATAAGAGCAAGGGATTTCTTCCATACGCCTCTTTCCTGAAAAGACCCATCCCTTCTATTCACGGGAAACATTTATTTGGGACCATATCCTGTATCCCTGAGAAGACCCAAAAAAAATCCGAAATTGCGATTTCCTTGAAGGAATCTGTAGATGGAAAGTCCTTTTTCTTTGATGCTCCGTTCGGTGAAATTGATTATGTCGACAGAACCGCAGATTACTTGCGGTACAAGTTTTTAGAATCGCTCTCGATAACGATTGGCATCACTCATGTAAAAAGAAAATCGAAACCCACCACCTCGTCATCTCCAGACTTGCATGCGAATAGCTTATTGCTTGAAAATCGAACCGAAAATGATTTGGACGCCCTTCTATATCAGCTCTCACAAAAAGCACGTCGTACATGGGAAGATAAAGTATCGAGAACCGTCTCACGAGAGGAAATATTCAAGTTATCGTCAACCGTTCGAGAGCCTCCAGCTGCAAAAAAGTATTCTATCCACCAGCCTCCAAAATCACTTCATGGACCGTTGCTATGTGCATCTATTGCAGCAAATGCTATGCCGGATCGATTGCCGAACACCAATAATGATTTAGAAGCTACGGCAACCTCCACATCTTGTCCTTCTTCTGCCGAAACTTTGAATTCTACCCAATCGTCGTTGCAAACGGATAATTCAAAGCTTCGGGTTAGGGGGAAAATCGTGGGCTTCTCCAGTGGGGCACAAGGATATGCTGTAAGTGTGGCAGGGTGGATTGCATATTTGCCGTGTTCGCAGGCTTTTCTTCAACAACTACAGGCAGAGTTAACACCTACCTCATTTCTTTCGAAATTTTTAAACGTCCCATTGGATTGTCTATATGTAAAGTCCTGTCTTTTAGACACAGATTCAGGGACTCCGCTAATAACGCTTTCCATTGATATCTCCGAGGTTTCCAAGATGCTCCAACATGAGCATGCTACCATGACCTCCCAGGAAACCGCGATTTAACAACAAGCGCCTGAAGCCTGCTAGTGACCCGAGTGAGTTATTCTGTTTCTCAACCAAAAACAGATGCTAAAACTATGACAATAAAGGGCCTGAAATTTGAAAAGGATTTATAACCAAGTGGATGGATTGGCTATTCGCGGCTGATCAGCACAAGCCCGGCAAGAACTGCAAGAAGGGCGTATTTAAGAATGGGATTATCCGTCATAATAATCGTGATCATGCCTACATATGGTACATATCTAGTATAAGATAGCCAAGAGCCAACCCATATACACGGCCAATCACATCGCCCTCCATTAGCCATTCTTGACCCGAAGAGTAGAGGGAGCGATCATGTACGCGGTTGTTATCGCCTTTTGTGAGGACAAAAAATTTGCTATCATCATAAGCGAACACAATCAATGCCTGCTTTCGACCTCGCGATGTACACGGATCGCTCGATGTACGATTGGGATTTCTCTATCTGAAAGTTTGAAAACGCAGATATCTCCCGCACTGATGGGAGTAGATCCGCGCGCAAGGAAAAGGATATCGCCACGCTCAAATGCAGGAGACATACTCTCCCTAAAATTGAATAAATTAAGACTTACGAAAGCACCACCACAATTGGGGACTCGCAGTTGGTCCAATAAGCTAGGCTCTTCCACACCATAAGGGCAGTCGAGATAATCGAGAAAATGATGAAAATTTGGTTAAGCGTCTACATTTTAGTGGAGACTTGAAAACCTGGCGCATATTCATGCGCTTGAAACTAGAAATGGTCAGCGCTATGCTACTTGCGACGTCGGAGCTGGGGGTCTCTTTTACCTTGGTCATGACAGATTGATTTTAAACAATTGCAAATGTAACGAAAATTAACAAGAAACACAAACAGCAATCCAAAAATTTCGTTCATTAAAATTTATTGCCCAACTGGTGGCATTCATCGGCTGATGCCATTTACACGGGAGAACAGCTAGGGTGCAATTGTTTGCTTCTGCTACAAAGTTGTTGGATTTGGCCAATAAATTTCATGCTTTTTGTATGGACGTGTCGTTTAGGCAGCATTCTACGAGACTTTGAACTGCTATACTGAAGCCTGCCTTTAGTTAAAGGTAATATTTTCCAAGAAACTAAAGTCGTGTAAAGATTTGGAAATCCGTATTCACTAACCGCATGCAGCACCGATATTTAGCTGCTGTGAATGGTGTACATGGCATCAAGATGTTTTGAAGATCGTACTTGGAAAGGTATGGGGCTCAAATTTATCGATATCAATTAGCGCTCCACAAATGAAGCTAGCAAGGCAAGAGGAGTTTCTTTTTATCCCCCAGAGATTCTTCATGCCATTTTCATAGTTTGTTGAGTGTGTTAAATAATGCAATGCTATTTCTGTGTTAAACGGGACAGCTTCACAGATCTTTGTGCCAACATGGTGACATTTGTAAATGGCTTCAATGAGAGCACACAACTTTTTACCGAGGTAATTAATCCCCTGGTCTGCCCAAAGACTCTGTGTGATATGGCATCCAAAGCGCTCAAGATCTTGTTAGGAGTCGCAGACATTTAAAATCCATACCTCTAAGCCGCTTTCGTCAAGAAACAGATCAAAATTAAGCATTCATTTTCGGGCTTACACGTTCATAAATTACATTCCGAAAACTCGATTTAAATTGAGGAAGGACCTTCACATCCATTTGGTCCAGGGTGGAGGTCGAAGCACAAGAGCTTGGGCCTATAGAGGTACAATAAACAGCATTAATAGTTGGCATCCTCATTTTAGAAATAAACCCCAAACAAATCAGAGCAATCGCTGGATTGTGGTAAGATTTCATTATAAGAATCGAGATACACATGTTTTAGTGATAAATTTGCGCAATTAGTTACACATTCGTCAGTGCGAAAATTTTAATTTCCATTAGGTGCCAAGCTTGCCGACAAGTAACGCAGGGACAATAATAAATCCCGAGGCGTTCTGCGAGGAAGGCGCATCAACACGCACAATGGCATCAGCGCCATCGATGCCTACAAGGATTCCAGTAGTCTTGAGATGATCACCCGCAAGCACAACCACCCGATCCTTCTTGACCGGCCTTTGGAGCCTAAGCTGGGAGGGAGGCACTTCTGATACAATCTTTGGCTCCTCAATGCTCTCAATCGGTATCAACGATCCTGAACAATGTCCTGTGACAATGGCACTCTTCATGACTCCATTGATTAATGCCATAACATGTAGAGATGGACGGGCCCAGGAGGCTTCAAAGTTGGCATCATCATTACTGTCATCAACCCTGTGAGTGGCAGATAATGGAGTCATCCCGCCGCCTCCAGAAAAGTTATGTGAGTTCCAGGATGAAGATGGCGTTCCATGTCCTTGGCTAGACTGCATTGATCCGCGGCCCCAGGGGGAAACAGCACCAGACATAGGGGGAGCTGCTCCCCAGGGCGACATGCCTTGTTGCCATGTGGGTGTACCCGAACCTTGTTGCCACGTAGGCGTACCTGTTCCTTGCTGCCATGTTGGAGTACCGCTTCCGCCTTCTAAATTTGCATTCCGGGCTCCAACAGTGCCACCAAGAAATCCACCAGAAGCAGGTGTGCGCCATCCTTCTGCTGCCCCGAAACCTGCAGAGGGGGTTCGAGAGCCCATCGCAAATCCAGAGGGAGTACGATCTCCAATGCCAAAATATGCCGGGGTACGATCGCCTCCTCCTGCTCCCCCGGTTGCTGTTGCTCCAAAATAGCCGGGAGTACGTGAGCCCAGGTCAAATTGACCACCGCCCGCGCCTCCAGGTGTTCGAAAGCCGGCATTGGCAGCGCCAGGTGTGCGCCATCCAGAGCGCTCCAGACCTGCTGGTGTTGCAAACCCGGCATTGGAACCTACCATTGGGAATCCACTGGGAGTTGAAAATCCCTTCTGTTGGCCATAAGAACCTGGATGTCCCTGACTATCGCCTTTACTATCAACTTCACTCAAAGCCGAAACCGGTACACTGACTCGTTTTGAGTTAGTATGCAACTCAATCCAAGCGACTTGGCCCTGATGCTCAAGCTCTTTCACAAGAGCAGTGAGCCCTTTGTATGGGCCCTCTCGGACCAAAACTGTGCGTCCACGCAATCGTCTGGAAGACGCCCCCTTCTGCTGCCGCATTGCAGCTGAAGGTGGTAGATTAAGAATCTTCGTTCCACCGCCATTCGCAAGAATCACCGAAGATGCCCGCACCGCTATGATCGGAAATGGCTGAGCAAGAGCAACCCAAATTGTTGACCGATAGATACTGACGATTCGCCCCGTTAAATTCTGTCATCAATAAAAAATTTACGCTCACCTGTGAAGCACCATGAAGCATCTGGATGGTGTCTCCAATGCTTATAACAGCCCCGACCGAATCCATTGCAAACTTGCTGGGTCGAAGTTTCTGAATGGAAGTTTCCTTGATCCGTTCGCACAGAATTGAATGAGAATCGATGATGAAGAACGGCTCTTTGGAGGATGTGTCAATTTTTACAATAAGTCCAGGCCCGTGGCCAGCCAACATCACAAGCTCTTCAATGGCAAATGTGATATTTTCAGGGCGCCCGAAAATAGCAGCTTTAGAGCCACTCCGTCCATACATGTTGTCTTCCGAATTAGAGGCTTCTGAAGGACCAAGATCTCTAGCAAGAACCTCAAACTCTGACTTTGAGCTTTGCGAAAAGAGAGTAACACGCACGCCTTGAACTCGAGTAACTAACCCCACAGTCCCAGCCGAAGTACCGCGGAGCACTCGGACAGAATCGCCGATTTGAAAAATCTTACGAAGGCTTTTCATGGGAACTGATAAGGTCGTTTGTTGATCAAAAGAGACCAGGGCAATTTCCCCTTCATCAATGATATCCTCAACAATGCCTTTGCGGCCAAGCAATTCGCCCTCTGTCACAAGGACGCTTGAACCACGTTCGATGAAAAGAATGGCTGCATCCGTAGCACTTCCAGCGTCAACCGCAGAGAATCCGCCAAAAACCTCAAGCTCATCCAACGTGGGAAGCATAGTCTGGACCTCGACGCCTGTAGCCTTAATTTCCCGCTCTAAAAACCCATCCTTGAAATATTCTCCACCGAACATCCAATATCCAGGAGTAGAAGAACGAGTGGGGCCTGGTATTCCCAATAAACGGGCCCGCTCGGCTACTTCAACCGGGTTAAATAGCTGGGCAGAGGGCCTTTCTGTAACCGCTGCACCATGGCCTCCACCACCTTTTCCAAATGAGAGTCGAGGTAAGAGCCGCAGTCTAGCGATGGCAAGGCCATCCTCGCCCTCGTCAACAGCAAGCACTTGGGCCAGATCATTAGCATACTTTCCCCTTTTGATGCGAACCCAAGCACCAGACTTGAGCCCATGAGCCGCTCCGGAGCCTGAAGTGGAAGATTGATATCGTTCTGAAGGCCGAAGAACTTCAGGCATTTCATTGATCGGCACAAGAGTAATAGAAGAGCTCCAACAATTGGGCATTCGCTCACAAAAGGTGAGCACCTCTTGCTTGGTAAAGGCCTCCACATAAATAAAACCCTTTAAAAGAGGCTCTCTGACTACCACAGAAAAGATTTTAGGTACAGCTTCTGCGGAGAGGTCTGCAGATGCCGTCATGGTTAAATAGCGACGCATCATATTGAAGGCAAGCAGACGCTCTTTACCGGGGCGGCATCGCACCATCCACAGCTTTGGATCTTGCACAGTTGGCGTTAAAAAGGTTTCTGGAAGGAATCCCTGCTCCTCTGCTGCTGCTGCTGCTGCTCGAGCTTCTGCTGCTGAAGAGCGTCCATAAAGCGACCTGAATGTTAAGACAAAGGAATGGCGAAATAAAAGGGTGTCAATTGTGAAGCAAAGCATACGTACTTGATACGCTGAGTCTCTTCTTCAGCCTCTTTTGCCAATGTTTGGTCGTCTACATCTGCAAGGGCCCGTGGATGAGCCCTGCGCTCAGCTAGTAGCCTGGAATATGTCTGTTGTGCTTCAAGAAGCTCGCTCTCATCTTCTTCAATAAAATCATCCTCCTCCTCATCCTCTTCTTCACGGGATGCACGGCCCGAGCGTCTTCTACGTGTATATCGACTCTCTTCTTCGTCCTCCTCATCATCTCCGACAAGGGCCTCCGTCTCAACAAACTGATTTCGTTTTGTCTTCTTCTTTGTCCGCCTGTGGTCTTCGTTTTTCTCCTCTTCTTCAGGATCGCTGGACAAATCATCTAATCCAAAGTCTTCATCATCACTGCCCTCTTCGTCTTGATCAAGAGCATTGCGGTCGATGGTCTCGTCAACTTCCTCTTCATATTCATCTTCCTCCAGAGACGGGGGCATGGGCTTGAATAAAATTAAATTTAAATTGAATGAAATCAAATGAAATGAAATGAAAATGAAAATTGCATTATTTCCCAATGTTCAGGATTTCATGTATTTGCATGGTCTTAATGATTTATGATGTACATCTTGATACTGATTTTGTTGTTGATTGGTGATTGTCCTAATGAAAACAGAGATTATACCGATCATTTATCTGCCTCCCATGAAAGCATAACTGATCGTAGTGTTATCATTTCCAAAATAGGAAAGCATGAGTCCACACCCGCATTATTCGTTCAATGGCCAATCAAGACCGGCCATTGTAACCTATGTTTTCGGAGCACCAGATCCGTTCCTACATTTTCCTTCGATTTCACACGAGTCTCAGCACGTGTTATTGTCGCCACTAAGCAGTGTCTCAGACATTCCATTCGCTTCAGAGGGTGATGAGGAGAACAACCCCTTCCTCGTGAAAGAAAGAAACAAATCCATTAAAAACAGCGTTGCTCCTCCACCAGGAGCAGTTTCGCATTCAAAAAAAATTCGGTTTTTGAAAGAAATTTTTCTCGATTCCAATCAAAATAAGGCGGAGCCTTTGGATACGTTCCAGGGCAATTTAACTTCCCTAGTTTCTTGTTCTACGCCAGCACAGGCCATTGATCGGTTGGCCATGCAAATAGCTAGCGATTCTGATGCCCAATCCTCGCACCCACAAACCCATTTTTCTTGTGGCGATATTTTACAAGGACCAGATTGCCCTTTTCGACTAGAAGATTGGATCGATATCCGGCGACTGTCCCAATTTGTTATACTTGACACATAAATAAAAATTCCGGAATTTTGCAAAAATCTCTCAAAATTTTTCCGCTTGTATTGTAGGGTTGGCGTTATAATTGCCCGTTTTCTAGTTGTCGCCATCATTTTTTCCAAAATGAAAAGCAAAAATGGCAGCAGATATTTACCCTGCCTTTCGGGGCTACAAGAAGTGGCTTTTGATAGCACCAGAAAGAGAACCACCTTTCTCGCCGAATCCGAGGGGTCAAAGGCTTTGGTATCCATTGAAGCCAAGCCGGTCTCAAAACTAGATCTAGAAAAGGTCCAAGAGGACCCAACGTCTTCATCTTTAGAGTTAATTCATTCCAATGATAGATGGTCTTCTTACAGTAGCTCAAACATGAAAATTGATATCACTCTTCCAGCAACGGAGCGAGAGATTTCGGCTGCCTCTTCAAAAGATTTTGAGAGGCTTGTTTGCGAGCCCCCCCAGCTTTATGTATCAAAGATAAGGCCATTCATAGAATCATCGCCTGAGCATCAGCCCCCGCTTTGGATAAAAAATATTCTCAATGGGACCAGTGAGCAGGATAGGATTATTTTCAAAAATGAAGAGTTTGTCATTCTTCCAGACAGCAAATGGTGTGGCAAAGACCGTAGATCTCTATATCTGTTAGTTCTCTTTACCGATGGATCGTTAAGGACAATACGCGACCTATCTACCGACAGGCATCTTGCCTTGTTGAAGGAATTGAAATCCATTTTGAAGGTATTTGGCGTGGACTATGTTAAATTTTGATAGGAAGTGTTGGCATGCAAATATGACATCGATATCTCCCAAGTGAGACCGTATTTCCATTATCTCCCATCTTTTTATTTACTGCACTTGCACGTTCCGCATATCTCCATGAGCTATGCTGGAGCTGTTGCAGGAAGAGCACATCTGCTTGACGATATCATCGACAACATGGAGAATGTGTCTCTGCAATTCTACTCTGAAAAGAAAAGCCTTTTTTATGCCGTCAACAGTGTTAGCGATCGCGCGTTTTTTTCCCTTTTCCAGAAATAAACATCATTACATTTTATTACCTACCCAACTGTGGAACATCAAATATAAGCCGCAGCACCATATTTTCCTTTTTGGGGTCCATTTTAATAAACCCCATGTGGAATAGATCCGCTACACACTGCAAAAATCTCAAGCTAGAAACCAAGCATACGAATTTGATAAACAAACCTTAAATTCTGGTCCTGTGTGGATACGCTGTCACAGCCAAGTACATTACAGAAAGACTCAAACCAAGACTCCAGACCAATCCACCGCCCACACTCTAAGTAAAGCTTAAATATGATAGAAATATCAGGAAGTTTAGGGTTCATAGAGCCATCACAGCAGCCACAAAGTAGATATAAATGCGGATTGGTTAGTATGCTTTGTATGGTTGCACGTGGATTTGGAAAAAATGCCTATGGCCGTTATATACAGCGAAGCTAACTTTTTGCAATGGCAGGGTATCAGTAAGAGTGATTGCCTCAAAGAATTCAAAGGAAAGAGGCGATGCTAAAGAGTCTCTATTCCATTACAAATGCCAACAAGGTACAAAATAAATTTCCTTAGAAATTGAAGGATCAAATCCAATGCTGGTCCCATTCGAACCGCTTCAGGCGCGGATTTCTCCTGAATGGTCAAATCGACAGCACAGAGGGCGTTTCGATATCGCGTAAACATAGAGCTTAGTTCATGATAAGAACTAAATCCGTGATATGGAAGCAGCTCGTTTGTAGATCGCAAAAGATCAACAATGGAGGTCAAAAGACAAACAAGCGAAACGGAATCAAGAGATCTGAACAATAAATTGTACGAACCTACCTCAAGGCTTCAAGTGGCTTGTCTAAAATTTCAGAGACATTCGGTGCTTGTTTTAAAATCTGCAGATAACATTCGATTAGAAACCCAGGCGTTGTCAAATTCACTCCCCTTGCTATCATGTAAAACATATTAAGTGCGGCTGAAAAAAGAACGGCCCCGGCATGCTGGGTCTTTATTGCAAGCCTAAGGCGCTCCAATAAGATGGTGTCATCTTCCAAAAGGGCCAATGCCTCGCCACTCTGCGTGGCCAGTAACGACTCAACGATGCTACAAATTTACAGTTTTAAGGTAACTTTTTGAAGGAGGGCATCATTCTAACATATTCAAGGTGAAGTCTTGTAAAAAAATCGGTTGGATCGGTGGTTAAGGAGGGACCTGCTAGTACGCTAAGTGGGTTTGTCAGGTAAACTTCCATAATGGTAAACTATAGTGAAAACATACATGCTAATTACCTTTACAATGCGATGTAAAGAAGAAAGTGTTGAAGATGACATTTGGAAATGCCGCAAAGCATGCTCGAAAACTTCACTGGAGAGTCTAATCATTTGTTTGGGACTGGCAAGAGTCTATCGTTAAAAACCAGAGCAACCTGTAGAATATAACTATCAACCAATTCAAGTTGATCCGAGCAGCCCCAACATCTCAGACTTATATGTCCATACAGAGAGGGCGAGAGGGAATTAGAGATCAACCCGGGAAAGACACCCGTAAATACCAACAAATGGCAACCGTTGGTACTTCTATGGATATGAACTCAAAATTAACTGAAAAGAGGCCAGGAAGTTTGACAAAACTTGATGTTCTATCCGATCGATTTCCTCAACAAGGAAAATGAGCTTTGAAGCCGGGAAGTTCGTCTTATAATGGGCCAAAATGCTACCAATATCCATCTGATTCGGGATTTCAAGGGTGCTGCATATGGATTTCATTATTTTCTTTAACGAGGATGCTTCTTGATAGGAAAATGAGACGACCTTCAGGCCGGAATGTTTTTCGGAAAAAGATTTTAGCTTTATAGAAATATCCTTATTATCAACAGTGTCAATGCCTAGAATAAGAGCAAAATATCACTTAGTAGAAGATGCCCAATAAAGATGCCTGGAGAATCTTGCTCCAAGAGCCAAGAAAGCACCTGATCGGCAATATTGCTTGAATATTCGTGGAAAATATTCTAAATGGCAAGCAACAAATACGAACATTGAAGACTTGGTCCACATATGCCAATGCATCATTACAGCCTTTAAATCGCATGGTTACAAGCTCTTCTGGCTCGCTTTCATTAAGCAAGGGATTTAGTGGACACTCTGGAACATTTGAATCGCCTTCTAACATTTGGTCGTCACTTTCGGTTTCAACATTATCAAGCATCGAGGACTGGCTTTGTGAAATAAAGAAGCAGGCAGGCTACTATTTTTACAAAGTATAATAACCTCAGAAAGGGCAATATTGTTGCTTTTAGATGACAAAGCAAATAGCGGCGAGGGGGCAATACTGGATCCGTTCCTAAAAATCATCCTTTTTAAAAATTATGAATTTGGTCAAACATTTCGGCTGTCATCGGGCGTTTGCTTCGCATTCTCGTCCAACGACCACAATCAATGAGAAGGAAGTAGAAAAGTTTTCCAGGTTGTCTAGTTTTTGGTGGGACCAAAACGGCCCATTTCGTCCGCTACATCTAATGACCCAGCTAAGGATGAGGTACATAATGGATCAAATCGGGCACCATTTCAATACCACGTCAATCTCGTCACTCCGTATTTTAGATGTTGGCTGTGGCGGTGGATTGGTTTCCAAGGTACATTAAGGATCTTCCATTTTTAGCCTCTTGCTCGCTTGGGGGCAAATGTCCTGGGCATTGATGCCTCTGCATCAAATGTCGAGGTGGCTAGAAGGGCATGTGATGGATTGCCTTTAAAAATTTGCTTTGAGGCCCAAAGCTCTTCAGGTACCCAATTTGATCTCAAATAGATTTGCTGTTATCGAAACCATCCTCCTTTGACGTAATAGTGGCTCTTGAAGTAATCGAACATGTAAACGATCCCAATTTATTTGTCTCTGATCTTTCCGGATTGCTAAAAGTAAGGCTACTTATTAACAAATAGCAAAATGGGCTACTTATACTCTCAACAATAAACCGTTCGAAGCTTTCTGAGCTTCTTAMGATAAACCTGGCTGAAAACATATTGAATTTGGTGCCCAAGGGCACCCATGATGCTACAAAATACTTGACCCCCCATGAATTAGAGGAGATGTTTTCAAAGTCAAATTTGACACCCGTACCCGGTTCTTTGCTTCCATGCTTGTATCTCCCTTGGCCCTTAGAGAAATGGATTCCAGTCCCAGCCAATGGTCCAATCATTAACTATTTCTATTCGTCTATAAAATAAGTTTATTTATCTAGACATATGCAGCAGGCCCTAAATAGAACCATCCTCAAACAGGGGAAACATCGTTTAACTAGTGATTTTGGGAATATATTTTAAAGAGCTGGAGTTGGAGCTAGGAAATATTGCCTCATATGTATCAATAGAAGCAAGGGAATGTCGTTCCATCAGTCAAAGACGAAAACGGCGTATTCCCTGCAGCTCCAAACGATATTCATCGGTCTTTTATAACGTCATTTTGAGCAGAATTCTGTTGCGAATATTTGATCGGTTTCATAACAGTAGTGTGATTGCCACGGGGAGCGTTAGAGGCCACATGAGCACAGTTAGAACCCCTGCTCGCCTTAGAAAAGCCCTGTTCGTGCCGATTAGCAGATATTGCCTTGGTGTTTTTTAAAAAAGACGCTTTCTTCGATGTAGACGCACTGCCATGTGTTTACATTAACGTACATTCCTTCTGAGCTGCAGGAAATCCGTAAGCAAAGCTTCTTTGTTCAATGCGGTCATTGGTTGGATGAAGCTCCCTTTTTTCTTTCTGGCTGTTTTTATTTAACGAATCAGCCAGAACATCATTTGGAACGCAAGAAGAAGTCAAGCCTTTGGGTTTGTAAAATTTAATATTCTCGCATAGATTCTTGCTGCCCAAATTTGACCAGTAAGGGAGCCTTTGCACGGGATCGTTGGAAAAGCAAGGGCGTTTCTCATTGTTGGCGCGTTCTAGTTCGTTAATTGTAGCTCTATTTGTGTTTGGAAATGGCCCTTCAAACGAGAAGAGTTTAATTCCGTAATGGTCTCTGAAAAACTTGAAGAAAAATAACTTGTCGCTTGACGAGGTAGCTGAGTGGGGATTTGTAAACACTTGGCATGGCGAGATCAAGCCTCTAGACTCTAACTCCATAAGGGAATCCAGCTGGGCGATATCCCTGTTTGCCGAGTAAAAGAGAGCTGACCGCACAAGCCTGGATAGACCCAATTGACAGTGCAGATTTGAAATGAAATGCCGAATTTTTATTATAAAATAAATAGCATCAAACGTTGGACGTTTGCTCCAAAATGGCAATCGACATCGCCTTTTTTGAGGCATCCCTGGCAAGCTTGTCTGCCGCGACGTTTCCGGGACAATTGGAAGCCTTTAGGACGTGTTTAAACGAAACGCTGTCATTTAACACCTGTGATAGCTGCTCAAYAAGATCATGATTTTGGAAGAGCTTGTAAAGATTTTTTCTTATGCCATGCACAACTAATTGAGGCAAGTCAGCGCAATGACGTACCTTTTATAACATAGCTAGAATCTGTAAYGATCACTAGCGGGACGTCAGAGTGATGCATTTTAATAGCCTCGATGACGGCGGTCAACTCGCCTCTGGAGTTAGATGGGGTGCCTTCGAGGATTTTGGAGGTGTTTCTATTTACATAAATGACGGAGAGGTATCGCAACTTGGATCGTTTTGGCCCCAATATATTCCATAGCCTCCAAAGCGATTTTTCTTGTCAAACATCCTACAAGAGCCATCGGTATATACACGCTGCGGTTCTTGGCTGTATTTTCTCCGGAGAAGAGAATGCAAAGGCAAATGCATCCTCTTTTTTGGAAGCACCCGGAAAACGTGGAGGCCATCCATTTATTCAAAATTACCGAGTCGAAAATGGGGGCTTTAAAATGGGAGCTTTAAAATGGAGGCCGAAACCCTAATTTTTTAAAAACTAACCCTTTGCTCACACATTTGGTTATGCTTCAAGTGATCACTTGCCCTTATTAACAAAGTTAACGTGAACATCTTGCCTTGTTATTTACTATGAACGCCTTTGCAGGATACCACTCGATTTTTTATGTGGACTGCACGGAAACTGTTGATCTTTGTTCGCTCCATAAGCTTCAAAACATGATACAAATGTGGGTACAGCCTTCTTTTTTGCTTCACGATGCAGTAAATATGTGTTTCCCTTTGAAGGAATGCCTACATATTTCACTTTCAAAGCCATTCTCGATCCCCAAGTATGTCAAAAAAAGCATGACCATGGCCATAAATAAAATGCTTTCTGGTGCGATCGGATCATTTGTCTTATCGTTCGATAAACCTTTTTTCCTTCTGCTTAATGAATGCAGAAAAAGAGTGTTTGTGTGTTTGAGTGTGCACGACGCATCTGAATCTCTGATAAGAATTGTCCAAAAGCTAGACATTGTTCTTGTTACTTATGGTTACAGCAAGTTCTTCAGCACGCCTAAATTTCATTTAAGCATTGCCTCGATCGAAGCGCCAGACAAACGAGTACTATCTGACACGGACATTTCAACACTGGAAAGACTGATCTTGCCCGAGCTCAATAGTTATGCATTACACACCGATGCCATCAAAGTAAAGCATGTGGTTTTCAAGATCGGAGTGAATGTTTCCAAAATACCAATTTAATAAGTAAAATATCGACTCCATCATCCCACCAGATCCCGGCATCATGATGTGTTACTCCCCGGTAATTTTCGAATTTTGAGGGAAATCGGTAGATTGGGGGGCATGTACAACATTCTCAACAGCTTCAGAGGCATTCTCAACAGCTTCAGAGGCATTCTCAACAGCTTCAGAAGCATTCTGATCAGGAATATCACCAGAAACGGAAGGGGGGCTGTCGAGGCATCCTGATTGTATCTCAAAAGTGGGGCTGTTTTGAGATGAATCTTGAAGATTTTGTAGATTAACTTGGATTGCCTCGCATGTTTCGCCTTCAAACAGAATCGGTGTACAGGCTGTTTCTAAAGCAGCCGGGACGCTTTTCTGGTCTTTCAAGCAGGTCCCAGATGCATGTAGGTTTTCTGAGTTTGTGTCGATTAGAGATTTAAGCCTATCTTTCGGTTTTTTGGCAAGCCGTTCTCTGACGATGCGCGAATTTCTTACGCGCATTCTACTCGCTTTATGGAGAGATTCATTGTGAAAAGTTTCGGCAGTCTTTTCAGGGCGGACGTTTTCGCCGTTTGTCAACTCAGCATCAATATTGTCTTCGTTATCTTGGCTGGTATTATCAATGGAAGCCTCTTTGGCTGTATTGTCTAATTTGGCTTGAGCATGCTGGGGCCCGTTTCTTCTGGCTTCCGATTTTGCAGCTGTTTTATCTTTTTTCAACGAATAAAGAGGCTCCGCATTTTTGTCGTAATCGTTGGAGGTTTTCTCAAATTTTGGGATCTGTCCTGACAATGCTTTTGCAGAGGCATTAAATTTTCCAAAAGAGTGATGCGGTTTAGCATCCCAGGATTTCTTGTGCTTCTCCTCCGAAGATTCTTGTTCATCAAAGTCTGGAAGAGACCTTTCCCGGGCATATTTGGCCTTTTCGGAATTAAAAGCTCTCATGCCATTTTTCCGGACATAGTGATCCTCGTTATTGCTTTCGTTAACACCTTGTGCTGCATATCCGCTTTTTCTGTACTCCTGATTTTTAGGTCCATTTCCACTATATTTCTGATTTCCGTAGTGATTCTGGCTAGCTCCCCCGCGTTGGTCCCCAGCTTCCTCGTTGCTATAAGAGGAATTTCTAGACCGAAAATTCCCCTTCGCCTGAATATCGCTTTCATCCTTTGAATAGCCGCTGAAATGTCTGCCACTATGCTCAAATTTAGAGCCGCCAACGCCACTTTTCTCATAATTTCGTTTAAAACTACCAGATCTCTGCTTTTCGTTTGATTCAAAATTACCGCCAGTATACTGATCCTCTCTATTTCTTGTCAAATGAACTCGAGCATTGGATTTCCAGGCCGGATTAGACCTGGAATGAAAATCGGGATTTTCATCCCTTCTTTCAAAGGGCCGTTGCTTAAAGTATTCTTTTGCGGGATAATTAAAACCATCCCTTTGTTCACGATGGCCCCGGTATTCCATTTCCCTCCTTGGTTGATATTTTCCGGTCTCGCTACCAGGGCTCTGATATTCCATATCTGTGCGTCTTTTGAATGGAGCTGACATCCGTTCGTGGTCAGCATTGCTAAAGCCTTTAGAGGAATAGTGCACGGAAGAATCATATCTTGGAGCATGGTTGTTCCCAAATCTTCTGGTATTGTTATTTGTTCGTTTGGAATCGTCAGATAGCTCCTCAAATCTGGAGGGCTGCTCGGATCTTCTTTCCCGTTTCGCGCCAAATCCCTTGTATGAGGATGACGAGGATGTGGAATAGCTTGCTGTTAAAGCACCAGAAATCCTGCTGACAAAACATCGCGAAAAGATTAACGGACAAAAATAGCGGCCTCCCACGCACACGCTGCTACTCATTCCCAATGCAATGCAAAAACTAAAAAGCTGGGTAAATTTTAATTGCTTTACATTAGCACAGCTTACGCAACAGACCCAAACGCCATGTCAATTTCGTTTGGAACATACGTGTGCAGATTGATTCGCAAGCTGCAAGCTTTCATGGCAACCCCATTCCTCCCTTTAAACAGCACCTTCAGATCAGGCATCATAGGTGTTCTGGAGCTGTTTGCATCTCTGATCCATCATCTTTTTGTCCGCTCAAGAGCGGAAGACTATGAGATTTTTGAAAAGTAAAATCAAGGTCTAATTGTAGTATTCTCGAAGATCATTGTACGCTTTCTTCCCCGCTAGAAAATTCATCCAAGCTTGCCATAGTTACTGGTGGAACCGCTGGAATTGGGGTTGAGATCGCCATAGGGCTAGCTAGATGCAACTATCAGGTCATTGTCGGTATTGCATCGTTTCTTCTTTCATCGGCATAGCGGCTCGAGATGAAGTGCGCGGCGAATCGGCAGCACAAAGAATTTCGCTTCTCTCAAACAACAAGAAGGTTAAATTTGTAAAGCTTGACGTTGCAAATATTGCTTCCATGGAAAGCTTTTCTGCTGCAATTTCAAAAGAAAATTTGAAAATCGCGCTTTTGATTAGTATTTGTTGCCGGTTTTTACGTAGGCAATGCTGGAATTTTTGTGGACCATTTTGCGCCCATTAAGTTGGCGTCTGATTGGAAGAAGAGCCCTTTGGAAAGCCAATTTGCAATTGTAATTCAGATGGAGCATTGAATTGTAGAATAGCGTCGGAGCCTTTGCCCTTTGCAATGTTTTGCAGCCATTTTTCTCAAACGACGTGAGGGTCATAAACCTGGGATCAATAGCCCATTATGCAGGTATCTTTTGACCTGTCATTTCTTAGTTTACTCGCCCATTGACTATACAGCGTTCCAATCAGAAGACCGCTTCATGCGTTGCTTTTATTCAACGACAAAGCTGCTCTCGCATTCGCTTACCCTTGACATGGTCCAGAATCGGAATATCGAAGCATATACAATTCATCCGGGCGGTGTGATGACCGATATTTTCAAGGGAAGCCCTATGGTCTCGTGGTTCCTTGAGTCGATTGTCTGGAGATTTGCCTCCTATTTTATGCTTTCACCAAAGCAAGGGTCTCTTACGGCCCTTCAAGTCGCGCTTGCGCCATCAGGAAAATTCCCCAAAGGCTCCTTTATAGCCGATCTTGATCAGGTTTACAACGCAAATCCTCTGGCCGCCAGCGAGGTCGAAGGGTTCGTAAGATTCACCTCCGAATTTCTTAAAAAGTAACAATAAACATCTATCTGACCAGTGCACACCGCTCCATCCCAATTTCATCTTTTGACAAAAAGTAGACCCTGGTACTTGCTTGCGCCCATCCATGCAACAATGGCATGCTATCCAATGTTTGCTTCAAATTTAGCGCTAAAAGTAAAGCCCGTCACACCTATGCCAAACTAAGGCCAACGGCCGTTTATTGATGTGAATGCCCGGTTGAGCATGCATTGTGTAAAGATTATCCGGCCACCTGGTGCTTTTAAAAGTAGACTATTGACCGGCTCGAAGGCACCAATAGCTCCGCAACGTCCAAGTAAGTTTTATTAACCAACCATCAAGAAGGAAAAGCGGGGCTAACATCAAAAGAAAACGAGACCGTTTCATCAGAGCTTTCTTCAGAAGAAACAACCATCATCACACCAACCTGGACAATTGAATTCTTCGGAAGGGCGCCAGAAATAAGCATACGGCTCAAAGGAGTCACAATGGTTTTCTCAATAAATCGCCTCAACGGTCTCGCTCCAAAAGTGCCATCGTCGTATGCTGCCTCAATGATAGCCTCTTTTGCCTGTTCGGTAATGACAACGCGAACCTGCTTTTCTTCAAGCCTGGAATTGATCTCTTCTTCACCAAGTCTTTCGATGATCTTGAAAAGCGCAGCCTTGTTCAGTTTATGGAAAAGAATGACGTCGTCAAGACGATTGATGAATTCGGGCCGGAAATAGGCCATAAGCGCTCGTCGAAATTCGAGGGATGACGTAGCGGCGGCAGGTGGGATTCCCACATTCGATGTAAGAATGACGAGTGTATTTGTAAAGTCAACAAGACGGCCCTGCCCATCTGTGAGCCTGCCATCATCCAGGATTTGAAGAAGAAGGTCAAGAACTTCTGGATGTGCCTTTTCCACCTCATCAAACAGAACGACAGTGTAGGGGCGCCGTCGAATGGCCTCGGTCAACTGTCCCGATTCTCCATATCCGACATACCCGGGGGGCGCGCCTATCAATCTGCTGACCGAGTGTTTTTCCATATATTCGCTCATATCGATGCGTACAATTGAAGAGGAAGAAACAGGGGTCGTTGTACCGCTACCAGATGGTTGAGACGAGGCATTTGCAGAGCCGCCGCCAAAAAAAAGCTCCGCAGCAACGGCCTTTGCCAGTTCAGTTTTACCCACGCCTGTGGGTCCCAAAAACAGAAAGCTACCAATCGGCTGGGAGGGTCTAGAGAGCCCACTCCTATTACGCAGTATGGCATCTGAGACTGCCAAAACAGCCTCCTGCTGGCCATGAACTCTGGAGGAAAGCCGTTCTTTGAGAGAAAGAAGCTTCTCCGTCTCAGATTCGCTAAGGCGGTTAAGTGGAATTCCAGTCCATTTGGACACCACGGCCAAAATTTGGGATTCCCCGACCACTTCTGTTACCGCAATACTGGGGGAAGATGCCGGTGCAGGCTCGGATTGAGTATTGGCCATTTCGATAACATCGATAGGCTCCGAGCTGCGAAGCGCAGAAATACGCTGCTCCACGTCGGGGATCGCCCCAAATTCAAGATCCGCAGCAAGACTCTTGTCTTTTTTTCGAACGGCATCGGCAAGTTTCGCCTGCAAGTCGGCCAATTTTCTCTGTAAAGCTGCCATTTCGTTAATTCTTTCCCGTGTGGACTCGTATGAATGTAAAAGAGGAGCCAATGCGGAGTCAACATCGGCAAGCTTCTTTTTAACGGCAACAAGTCGAGACCTGCTGGTTTCTTCGAGGTCCTTTTCCTTTTCCAAAGCGGTTACCTCAATTTCAAGCCGTAATTTTTGTCTCTGAAGAGAATCTATTTCCTCCGGAAAAGAGTCAAGAGCCACACGTACATCAGCACAGGCTTCGTCGACCAAATCTATTGCTTTGTCAGGAAGGAAGCGATTTGTAATATACCGAGAGGCCAGCTGCACTGCCAATACGATGGCCGAATCCCTAATACGGACTCCATGATGCGTCTCATATCTCTCTTTGAGTCCACGGATCATAGCGATGGTATCAGGAAGTGAAGGCTCCCCCACATAGACAGGTTGGAACCGCCTCTCAAAAGCGGCATCACGCTCAACGTACTTTCGATATTCGTCCAGAGTAGTGGCTCCAATGCACCTAAGCTCGCCGCGAGCAAGCATCGGCTTGAAAAGATTGGCCGCATCCATGGAACCGCCCTCTGGGCCTCCAGAAGAGCCAGCGCCAAGAACAAGATGGATCTCGTCAATGAAAAGAATGATGGAGCCATTAGACTCTTTCACTTGAGCAAGGACATCTTTGATTCGCTCCTCAAATTCACCTCGATACTTTGCCCCGGCAACTAAGAGGCCCATGTCCAGGGTGTGTAATTGACATTCCAACGTGCGAGGAACATCTCCCCTTGCAATTCTTTGAGCAAGACCCTCGACAATTGCGGTTTTACCAACACCTGGGGGCCCAATCAGAATGGGGTTGTTCTTGGTACGCCGGCAAAGCACTCTTATAACTCTGCGGATCTCCTCGTCTCTTCCGATCACAGGATCAAGGCTGCCTGAAATGGCCTGCTCAACGAGATTGACACCATATTTGGCAAGATAATTGCCAGCGACATTTCCTCCTGCTCCAGAAGCATCGCTTGTGATCGATTGAACGGTTTTTCCTTTTCGAGCCTCCTTCACGGCCCCATCGATATCAACGGGAGAAAGACCAGCTGCTGAAAAAATCGCCTTTGTCTCCCGCACATTTGCTAGTGCAATTACCAGGACATCTATGGCAATATGCGAATCTCCGAAAAAGGACATCACATCGTGTGCTTTTTCTAACATGCTAATGAACGAGCGGGAGTATCCCAAGTTTGGAGGGCCTGGAAATTGGCGTGAAAGCTTTTCCAAGGCCTCGTTGACACCCTTTTCTATTTCCTTGACATCAACACCTTTTTTTGACGCAATTTGATGTATGATGCCTCCCCGCTCCGAAATAAGGGCAGAAAGAAGATGTAGCGGTGTTATTTCAGGATGCCCCTGACTTCTACAGTGCTTCTCTGCCTGCTCCACAACTTCTGCTGCACGAATGGTGAATGAATCTGGTTTCATCACTGGATGTTTTGTATCAAAATTGTGTCAATTTCGGCATGCGTTTATTAAGGTTTTTGTATTGAATTTTCTAGAAATTATCGATTCAATCATGGAAAGGGCCAGGGTTAACCCTAAATTCGAGCCGATTTTAAATTTTAAACTTGGGGCTGTTAAATTAAAATTTTATTATCTCGCATCAATGGTAAGCCATCTTGTCCCCACATCCCACCACAACTATTTCATCCATCATCAAGGGAGAACATTTTTACAATTTTTAGCCGTTTGTGAAACTTGTTAAAAATAAGGCTTACTTTAAACGTTTCCAAGTAAAGTATCGCAGGAGAAGAGGTAAGTAACTGCTCAATTTTTTGCCTGTGAAGATACAATATCAGCTAAGATACTAAGCATGCTGAATGAATTTGTTCTTTCGCTCCTATCTGAGGCTTTTTATCTGCCATTTTATTTCGCTTTAATTTGTAGAGGGCAAAACCGACTACTATGCACGCAAGCGCTTAGTTGTTCAGGCCAAGAACAAGTACAACACCCCCAAATACCGTCTTGTTGTTCGCATTACCAACACCGATATTGTTTGCCAAATCATGTATGCTCGCATTCAGGGAGACATTGTGTTTGCATCTGCTTATGCCCATGAGCTTCCTCGCTATGGTGTAAAAGTAGGGCTCACCAACTTTGCATCCGCGTATTGTACTGGTCTTCTTTGTGCTCGTCGTGCACTTGCAAAGCTTGGCCTCGATTCCAAGTACGAGGGCAAAGCAAAAGCCGACGGCGAGTATTTCCTTGTCGACTCCATTGAGGGCGATGATAGTCCACGCCCATTCAAAGCCTTTCTTGACGTTGGTCTTTCACGCACCACCACTGGATCTCGCATCTTTGGTGCCCTAAAGGGAGCCGTTGATGGAGGTATCTATGTTCCCCACTCTGACCGTCGTTTCCCAGGATACTCGACGGAAACGAAAAAGGTCGACACCAATGTTCTTCGCAAGTATATTTTTGGCCAACATGTTGCCGATTACATGACCCTTCTCAAGGAAGATGATCACGAATCGTACGAAAAGCAATTTTCCAAGTACATAAAAAATGGCGTAACTGCTGATGCTATTAAGGGTATTTATGCCAAAGCACACGAGCTGATCCGTAAAGATCCATCCTTCAAACCTTCCCAAAAGAAAGTCAGCGAGATGGCTGAAAGAAGCAAGTCGTTCAAGAAGCAGCGCCTTACCTATGAGGAGCGCAAGGCCAACATTGCAAAGAAGATTGCTGAATTCAAAGAGTCTGTTATGCAATAAATTTTTTAATTAAATTACCCCACCGCTTGACACATTTTATTTTGACGCCATTGCACTTGAGTTGCCATGGCTTTTCAATACAGGGCCTGGCCCACGGGACACGCCTATTTGAGCTCGTGGAATGTAAGAAGATCCGATTTGACGCCGTAACTGAAATATGAAGATATTTTTCTGGCCTTCAGGTTGGAAATGTATGATTTCCATCGTAACATGGAATCTTCGTGTTCTGAACACTGATGCACGATCTTCTTGAACTCCTCCTCATTCCCATCCAATGAGATGAGCTCTTCGAGAATGGGAAACTGAAAATCATAGATCATCACTTCAATTTTGGGCTTTGAAAACGAAATTCCCATGGAGACGCACATCATTTGAATGTGCTTTGTAACTAAAGTTAAGAAACCATGCATGCCATACTTTTCTCCAAATAAGAGCGGTGCATAAACTTGGCCTTTTCGTTGTTTAAAATAAACAAAGACAATCGCTGTGACGTAAAGATGCTTGGCGGCGAGATGCTTCCCAATCCTTGCGCCAGTGGTGACGAGTCGATTTCAGAAGATGAATGATGCGTGCATGAAATCAGCGAAGACGATATCACTTGATGCTCGAACGAGGATATCGATATCGGTAGCAACGAATTATGGGGATCCAATATTTGGCCAACCAGCGATCCGATTGTCGAGGTGATGTCGCCAAAAGGAAAATCGAATTCAAGCTTTTTTTCAACGTGCTTGAGCTTTATCGAAATTGACGAACCAGAGGTGCCAGAGCCTCCTGCCGAAGACCCGTAATGGTAGTCTTTTATGAAGACAACCCACGGTATGTAGCGACGTTTGCAAAACGTAATGGCCTCGTCGTACGAGTCAAAATTCAAGATGATCGACTAAAAATAAATTGGGTATCCAACATACACGTATGCCATTCAGCCAGATTCCATTGATAATCTTCAGGGCTTCCTCAAACAGAGCATGCTCTATCGTAAACACACAGACATCAGCAAATATTCTTTGCCGTTGACGCACCTAAATATCAGCGCACTGCCTCGCATACCATAATTTGAGAGTTGTTATATTCAGGAAGAAATTGTATCAATTTGGAAATGGAAAACGAAACGGACACCAAAGAGTGGTTTGCTCGAGCCTTGCTCGGGATCTTATAAAAATCAAACTAATAAGTTATCGGCATGCTCAAATACACATACCAGTTTGGAAAAGTTTCCGCCTGACGAAATTACATCAACCCTTTGAGGAGAGTCTCCTGTAATTTTGACGGTATCGAAAATCAGTCCCTGAAAGCACTCGTAGTGATAGCAAAGAAGGGGGACAAAGTGTATCTGCAATTAGTCCAATATGCGCGCCATACTTGATTTGAGCAGCCAATTGCTCGGATGTTATTGAAAAATGCCTTTAAAATGGTGGAGACCTGCTTGAGCATTCCGCTCTTTCTGTTGACTCGAAAGATATCTTCCAGCTTTGCAAAAGAGTCTTCAAAGCTTCCCTTGATAAGCGCAACTTGCTTTAAGCAGGAAAAGGAATGCTCAGACAAATCAAATTGCTTCATCGAAAAGTCCTTGAACTTATTCCAAGAGGTCGATGGGGAAATTGCTGGATAAATGCCATTCATTATTTTGGACAGCGTTGATAGGGGGATTTCACATAAAGAAGCAAGTGCTTCAACAATAAAAGTGTGGTTAATCTACATAAGCATGGCAACCCAACATACCCTAATAATGACCGAGGATGCCTTGTTTTTCATGATCTCCTCAAGAACTTCAATGGAAATTTTAACGACCTCAGTTTCGTCAAACAGAGCAAAGGGAAGTGGAGTCTCGCTTGTCACGGGCGGCGATAGGATGGTAAAATCGGATTCCAAAGTCTGTTTTGGAAGTCCTCCGGCAGGATTTTTTCTAAGTTCACAATGGGCAAAGATACTTGAAAACTCTATCGAAAGTATATTTTCGAACGGAATGGATGTCATTGCGGCAAAGATATCTTGCCGAATTGACGATTCCATCAAACGACAAAACGATCAGTTGCCCGTCCGCGTCCAGAAAGGTTGCTGCAGTTCCAATATATTGGCTAATCGAAGACTGCGGCTGAATTTGGGGAAGAATCATTTCGATGCCACAATGGCGTCTAAAAACTCGCGCCAAAAAGGTGGCCACCTTTTCAATTGCAATGCTGATTGGCAGGTCAAACGAGGTTCCCTAATCGCGATTAGCGCCAATCGTTACCGAATTAAAGTCAAAAGTATAATCTCGATGCGGATCCACGGGAATCTTGAATAGAGATTGCACCAACTTGGAATAATAGGGGGTGCCCGGCTTAATGATCGTTCTAATGGCCTCTTGTATGTATTGTTCTTCCTAATTGAAATTGGCAAGCACGGGTGTACCAATTTAGGAGGCAAATAGGGACTTCCCAGCAATTCCTTTGATGAAAGCCGATCCTAGCGTTACGAGCAATCAGCGTGTACCTTTGGATTGTGGGCCAATAGCAACTTCAGTAGATTCGTCTCATCCGGCGTTCTTTTGGCTTCCCACTCGGAAGGCAAGCATATTTCAGGTGCGCGTAGGGCATTCAGCAAGATCGCACGCTCCATTTTTGTCTCAAAAGGGCCATGAAACATTTCAAAGAAAATGATGCCCAACGAATACATGTCAATTCGTTGGTTGTATTTGAACCCAGTAATTGCCAGTTCAGGTCCTTGATAAAACGGAGTTCCAACATCTAAAGATAGGAGCAGCTTAAAAGTACCAAGCGTTAGCGAGATGTCCGAAACGAGCGGATAATTTGCCTCTGCGGTATTGCTATTTACGGTGCTTTCAGAATTATTGCACGTCTCGTCGAAAAAAGTAAGCCCAAAGTCTCCCACCTGCAATTACAACATGTCATATCAGTACTTTGACATCTCCTTTTGAGTCCAAAAAGATATTTGACGGCTTCAAATCTCGGTGAATCATTCCTTGCCCGTGGATATGGACAAGAGCCTCAATGATCTGGCGAAATAATCTCCATGCTTCGGTAACTTCAAGCCCATCATCAATCAGGTCTCGCAATGTCTTGTTTGGACAAAATTCCATTTGAATATACAGACAAAGGGAGGATCGATTGGTGGGTATGTTCCCCATCGAATACGTATCTGGCTGTTTCATGCCACCTAGCCCGATCAGATAACGCCAAATCTTACAATATTCCACGATCGACTCATTGTCGTTGTCAAACACAAACCAATCGTAAGTAGTGGTGGGTGTATTTTCATTCCCGAAAACGATGTAATCCTCATCGGATTCAAGAGGTTGGCTCAAATTTTGTGCCGTATCCAACGTTTCCGAGTCCGACTCTGGACGTTTATCTGCATTTTCTGGATCTTCGTCTGCATTGTCTGGATCTTCATCTCCCTCAAGCCAGGCTTGGTAATACCTAACGATATTTTCATGATGCAGGCGAGAAATGGCTAGCACTTCTCGCAACAATTTTTTGTTCAGGTTCTGGTTGAACGACTTGAGCTTGATGCGTTTGATGGCGTAAAACCGATTGTCCAGCTTGTTCCTGACTTTGACAACTTCTCCAAACCCGCCTTTGCCAAGAAATTCAAGCTCCTCAAAGTCACTGTAGTACCGGGAATGAGATGGGTACTTGGGCTGGTGCAGATCGAAAGAATCGGTTAAATTGGGCTTTTTAGTAGCCAATAGCGTCCTTGAAATGCCCAGATGCTCTACAAGATCGTCGTTTGAAAAATATGTTTTCATCATCCGATCGAATGAAATGCGCTCATTGGGGTTTGGATTGAAGATCGATCTGAACATGTCGACAAAATGGATTGGAATTGTTTCGACATCTAAGGTGAGCAGCGTAGCTTACAATCTTGGATTTTAAATTCCGAAAATCTCTTTATGCAATTTAATCCATTGAGCAATTCGAGAGAGTAAAGCCCAAAACTCCACACGTCAATCTTTTGGGAATCGCAGCAAAAAAGGTTTTTAATCGCACAACCGAGCTCAGGTGCAGAGCTAAATAAAACACTACATATCCTACTAAATCGGGAGAGTGGGGATTTTGGTCTTGGAAAAAGGTTTATCAAGATGGAGTTTTAATAACTTAGTCAATGAGGAAAATTTTACCAGCGACAATTTTGGTGTATTGGTGAAATTTGAATAAACCGTATGCGAGCTCAAGCCTAGGGAAAGAGATTACCAAACTAAGTACTTGGGAAGAGAATAAGGGACGTGTGCTCCACGGACTCGAGGACCTGTAAGAGCTGCTTGGTCATAGTAAACCAGGAATTGATGCTTAATATGGAACCACATATGGATAGCAGATCATGAATAGGTACGAATCTCGAGTCAAATCTAGGCATAAAAGCATCATAAGTCACTCTTGCGCAATAAAAATGGATCCGCCTTTATCGGATTCCACGGGAGGCACCAAATAATGTGCACTGTATATTTCAAAGAAGCCGTCAAAGTTGTTTTGCAGCCCATTTAGAAAGCCGCATATTTTGGCTGACCCGTTTTCGGAAAAGAGATAGTACTTCATGGACACCGGAATTTCGTATATCACCACTGGGAACGAAAAATGCTCGTTTTTCTTGAGGTTTTTGAGCACCAAAAACCCAAAGTACTCGGTGATATCTAGAAAATCGAGCTTTGAAATTTGCTTTTCAAAGAAAAACTTTTCCGCAACAAAGTTTTGCCTCTCAAACCGCCGATTTGCAAGGAGAAAATTATATTTGGCGCCTTTCAAATCAACTTCTTTCAAAAAAAGCTTTTCCGGAACCTTGTCCAAATGCGCTTGATCTGGCTCATGCGAGTGCTCGATCTTTTCCTTCAAAAGGGACTGTTTGATCTTGAGAGTTTCAGTGATTTTAAACTCTAAATTGGTCATGTTTTCATCAACATGAGTAATGCAGTGCCCATCGTTCTTATTGATGATGGAAAGATCTTTGCGGTGGTCAAGTATCGCTTTATCGGACTCGATCTTTTTTCTAGACATCATTTGGTCATAAATAGAAGGAGCGGACTCAAAGCTATCCAGCAAAATCTAAAAATAAGCGTGCAAAAATACCCTTATCTCCTGATAAAGCGAATAAACCGTATCATCGTTTGATGTCTCCTGCACGTTTTTGGCTATCAACGCATTGACATCGCTTATCATATTAAGATTGAGACCCTTTGTTTCCTTCATCTCGATTTTCGGGGCAACTTCTGGATATCCCTTGGACAATGTGATCTCAAGAAGAACCTCCATTTCGCTCTTGACAAACGGAACTATCCTCAAAGAAAAAATATTTTCTTCGCGTTCGTTTTGGTCAGATTTGCTTGTCCACGAAAAAAATTCCATAAATATCGCTTCAAAGGCACTCGCTTCAAGCATAATGAAGGAAAGATAAAAATACCATTTAGGGTTAGCACAAAATAGCTACATTGCTTTTAATCAATGCACTAACTGGTTCCAAATTAATTTAATTTAATGCTCCATTGTTACTCGGTTATTTTTCAAATAAGTAGCCCCAATTAACATTGTGCTTTTGTGCAAAAATGATATTTCAATCGGTCCGCTTTATAATCTACCTGTCGCTGGTTTTGGTCTTCTACTCTTATTATTTTTATTCGCAGCGTAAAAAATCCTATCATTCGATGCTTGAAAATGACTTACCCACCCAAAACTCCATTGATAAGCTTAATTTGATGGATGCAATCCAAAAAGAGCTTCCTGAGTTTGAACCCATCCCCATTAATCTAGAGGAATGCCGATTTAAGGAGAGTTTTAGGAACCATTCAGTGCCTAAAGACTTCCTTGAGATACTTTAATCAAAGAAACCATTGACACCTCTTTATGGATGAAACTATGAACACTTATTTATTCATCATTGTTTGTTTCGTGGATGTGAGCAAGCACAAACATCCCCACAAGAGCATACATGCGCCGAGTTTAGGTCTCCAGTTGCTCTTGAACATTGGCATTTGGCTTCAACGGGAGCCTTGCATTTGCAGATGTCTCCGCAAGTGCACACCCTTGCTCTGGATAAATCGCCGGTTGTTCTTGAACAATCACATGATTGGATATTTGACGAGGCGCAGCTACAATCACTGCCACAATTGCAATTAGCACCACAAGAATTGCTGATGGCGTCTTGGCTGTTGCAAGATTGCGTCGAACAGCACGATTTGTTGCCCGACATGAGACTTTAAATCGATTTTGTAATCCAATGAAGACAACTTTATTTAAGTTTTATAGCTTATTCATTAAGAATTTTCCTATTGGTCCATGTTAATGCTGTCAAACTTTTAATTACAAAGCAAGGGAATGTACAATTTAGCAATTGGAATTTCGCCTTTCCATCTTAATTTGGACCTCTGCTCCCTAATATATATTTTAATGGCTATAACTTGCGGAGAAAGCCCTAAAGCCCCCTTTGAACCCCACGCCACACCCTCAAAGCCAGCAGAAGACGCAATAGGCGATAATTTAATTATTTTAAGGCATGACATTCAAAATCTGCACTTGGACCTAGTGCGCCAATTCGCACTTCAAAAGGTATTCTTTGCCTGTTTAATTCGTAATTAGCATAACATCGTCAATATCGTCCACAATGGAGCTCCAGAAAAAATAAAACACTTGGAGGAAGAGGTCGAATATCTTAGGAAAGAAGTAAGACGATTAAGGGCCAAATGTGGCGAGGCGTAAGTTGAATAGTAAAGTTTTTTAAAAATGAATCCACATCCTTTAAAAAAAGTATTGATCCTTTCCGGCCCAACTGGCGTAGGAAAGACCGCCATAGCGGTTCTTTTAAGCTCTTTGCTAGATGGAGAAATTATCTCCTGCGATAGCGTTCAGATTTACAAGGAGCTGGTGATAGGATCAAACAAAGAGCTGGGATTACCAGTTCCCCAACATTTGATAGACATTGTTTCGTGGAAAGAAAAGAATTTTACCAACGCAGATTTTCATTCCCTTTGCCTTGGAAAAATAGAGGAAATAACAAGTCGAGGAAAAATCCCTCTTTTGGTGGGTGGAACCGGATTTTACACAAAATGGATCGTCCAAGGAAGACCATCATGCCCTCCGCCTTCAAAAGAAATTCTTGCTGTCGTCGACCAAATGACCGACAATTGCGATTGGGAAGAAGCTATAAACTTGCTTAAAGCAGTTGATCCTGAATATGCGGCTTCTTTATACAAAAATGATAGATATCGTCTAAAAAGAGCAATCGCCAATCATCTGCAAACCAACCAACCCATGTCTTCTTTCAAACCAACAAAAGAGGACATGAAATACGATTTTAGATGTTTTTATTTGTCTAAAGATAGGCCGACCCTGTCTCTCTCCATTGATTGTAGATGCGAGAAAATGATTTCAAATGGCTTGCTAAGAGAGGTTGGTGAACTGTGGCTGCAAGGCCTAAAAAAAGATTACTCGGCGGGGCGGGCCATCGGTTACTCAGAAACTATCGACTTTATCGAATCGCTTTGGGTCAAATATAGCTCAATAACTGCAGATGAGCAGGATGAGTTTTTTAAAACCAAAGAGGTGCTTGCTAAATTTAGAAACTATGTGGATTTATTTAAGGCCTCTTCTAGGCAATATTCACGGCGACAAGATTCTTGGCACAAGGATTCCGAATTTAAATGGATTGATGGATCGGTCTTGAAAAGCAAATTTGATTCAGTAGAAATGGACCCCTTGATAGCAACATCAACGTACATCACTCGGGCTTTCAACTTGTCGAGATTCGAATGGGACACAAGTGCTGAGTTTGAAGAAATTCACAAAGAAAGTTTGTCGCTTAGATGGTCCGACACGATAAGAAAGTCAATGAAAACATATCAGGCAATTGCTAAAGAAAATTTAAAGTCCATTTTTACATGCGACGACACTTGCCATGCCACTATGTTGGATCAATTGAAATCGGTTTTCAACAAAAAACACACTAATTAAAACTTGAAGCGGGGTCGGCCTAATTTTAATGATTGATGGGGTTGAGTTATTGGTTTGTTTCGTCTTTTCATTGTTTTCCATTTTTGCTATAGCGCTTTTCTGGTATGATACCAATTCTCTTCTCATTGTGCACGGAAAATTGATAGCATCTCGTGCTTTTGATTGCCCAAATGCTTTTGGCATACAATCGTTTCAGATCCACAAGTCTTTTTTCGTTGTATTTTATATCTTTGGATTTTTCTCAAATTTACTTCCCCTGTATTTTCTTGAATTTTCCTCGTCAGTAAAAATTATTCCGTTTGTATTGGTCCAGCTTCACTACTTGAGAAGGATTTTGGAGTGTTTTTTTGTTCACACATATTCAAGGAATAGCTCAATGAATTTGGGCCACTTGTTTGTCGGTCTTTGTCACTATTTGCTTTTTGAAATAAGCTTCCTCACAAACTATGCAAGGGGCAGTTACAACCCCTATTTTGTTGCCATTGGAGCATTTCTCTTTGTAGTTTCTTCGATCGGGCAATTTCTTTCGCATATTTCTCTTTTGGAGCTAAAATCAAATGACCTGCAATGGAAGTATCCGCAAAGAAACCGGCTCTTTAAATATATCTTTTGCCCGCACTACTTTTTTGAGGTTATAATATACGTTTCCTTTTGGTTTCTCAATTCATTATCACTGCCCTTCTTTTATGCTTTTGTTTGGACACTTGCAAACCTTTCAATATCTGCCGCAAACACGATCGAGTGGTATTCAGAAAACTTTCCAACAGAGCATGCAGTTAATCAAGCAAAGTTCAAGCGATGGGCAATTATCCCCTTTTTGATCTAAAAAACTCAACTAGCCATATGCTACTCATACAAATTCGCGGCACAGGGGAACGGGTCTATTTCTAGCTACGCTCATAATTAGGCCATCGATTAAGCATTGGAAACACAATCCCTCACGAAGGTTTGTTTGAGTTGAAACCCCATTAAAATTTGTACAAGTACACCACTAACCATGCTATTGAAAATTTAAGTTTGTCAAAGCCAATTGCCTGTCCTACAGAGCTATTCTTAAAGATCAGCTTCCAACTGGGGTCAAGTCAATGGATCGTTCGGTTTAGATTTACTATGGGCACATATTTCTCTTTGCAGGCTAATTCCTCGTATTCGAGTCCCCTGCAATTTTGCCCTTTGCTAGCCTAACCCTAGCTGTAATACCATTTATTGCAGGGGATCCAAATACGAGGAATTAGCCTCCAAAGCAGCTGAATTGTTGTAAAGCATTGGGCAGGAACAGAAATGGCCACAATTTAAAAAAGGTTTATTTTCATTGATGAAGAAATGTACAGTTATCCCCTCTTGCACAGGCAACGGGATTTTTGGGATCATAATAGTGACATCTAACCCTTCTAAGCTTTTCTGGAGGGCAATTAATTTGTCTTATTTTAGGAGTAGCCTGTTGAGTTTGTAGGGATTGGGTACCGGGAATCTGATGCATGTTAGCCTGAGGCGGGGAAACAAGAGTACATTGAGGATAATTAGCTTGAGGATATAGCAGCTGGGGCGGCGGGTATCCTTGTGTAGGCATCGCATAGTGTTGATAGTTTGGATAGGCATATTCTTGGTGGCCTACCATGGAATCAAATAGGCCATGCGAGGGGCTTGCCAATGATCCAAGTAGTGAATCAAGCGCATTTTCATCTATATGCTCTACGGGCTGGGGAGCTGAAGAGATAGGATGCAATGGGATTGTTATTGGTGGTTGAGAAGACAGCATGTATGGAGGCGATTCTATTGGGTTCGATGGACACCTGGATAAATCGGTGCATCGGTACAAGTCAGTATTATTGGTCCTTTGCTCTCGCTGCCTGGATCGTTCCAAAGAATTGGCTCCATCTGCCAGCGTGTAATGTTCATTAAATTGCAATTTTTTGGGCAGTTTCCATTTCATTGTGGGAATAAGCATGGGGCTATTTACAGATGAATATGGTCTATATAGATCCTCTGTTTCCTTAATTTTCAAAGACAGGAAGGCTTCATCATTATCATTGAGGTCTCCATAAGCCATTGCGGGATTGAAATTGGGATTTTTCCGCTCGGTTGGGTCCAGCTCAAACAAACAAACCTGCATAAGTTGTTCATCTGGCTTAAAGGAGACCCTTTTTTTCTTCGCCTCAGACCCTCGCAAAGAAGATGAAGAGAGCCGCTTTTTAGAGGAAATAATTTCAACATATACATCAAAGGCACTATTTGGTTAAACATCATATACCTATCCATACCTGGTATCATTCGGAGCGGCCGGAATAGAGGTCTTTTGAGTCATCAGAGCAGGACCTCCCTTTTCTGGGGCGGGCTGGCGAGCTGGACTGGATTTTTTATTTATTATTGAATGGCACTCAAAAGGATCAAAAGGAACGGCTCCTTTTACTGAGATAGGGTTAGCAGTATCGCCAGACTTTGCCATACCCTCATGTTTGTTGGGTTGATGAGAATTTAAATCTGCAACGTTCGCTTTCCCAAAGTCAACACCTTGAGTTGAAATTGCCCTTTTGGAGGAAATTAAACCATGATTTTTACCGGTATTCCTACTACCATCAAGTAAGTCCTTTTTAATTGAGATATGAGTGGCTGCAGATTTTGTCCCGTCATCACCAACCTCATTTAAAATAACCTCTCGTTTAATTAATAAATTGGGCGGCCCCTACAAGTTAATAAATTAAAGTTGGCAAACCTTAGTGGAGTTAGGGTTAGACTCTGCTCCAATTACCTCTTCAATAGTCATGAGCATTTTCTTTAGCTCACATTCGAATTTATCGCTTTTGACCACAAGAGAGGACGCTAGTTTAACGGTCCTCCCCAATTTGTACTGTTGCAGCTCGGTTAGATTCCATGGGAGCAGGTTCAAATTATGCAAGGCCAAAACTGCAATCAATAAATCCTCTCTCGAATGATTTGCAAGAAGCGTCCATTCTTGCAAGGCTGCTATTGCTTCTTTTTTGGAAAATAGCTTGGAAAGCGCCTCTGGGGTGGATCTGGCCAGACCGGATAACAAGTTGGTTTTCTCTTCATGTGTCAGCGTTGGGGATGTGCATCTTTGCATAAACATGTCCACTTGTGAGCATGGGGAGAGGCTCATCATCATCTCGGGGAAGTAAATCTCGGTGCAAGAGTAAATTCAAGAAAAGTAAAATTTTGCCGGATTTTAAAATTAATTTATCATGACATCAATATCATCGTCCTCTTCATTGGTATCTCCCACTGAGAAGAACAAGGACAATCTGCTCACTTCTCCAAAGGCCGGGATTTCACAGTATTTCAAATTTCTGGAAGAATTTAAAAAATCCAGCCTGCCAGAGGAATTGCGAGCTGTAACAATCGCTCAGAACTCGCTTAGATCGCTGCAGAAAAGTATTATTTTCGCAATTAATATTTCTTTTCATAGGGGCTATTTTTGCAATGCTTAATGATGCCAGTGACGTTGAAGGCACTTCTGATGCATCTTGGATTATATTGATTTTGGATGCCAGAACACAGCAAATCCTGGCCCCTTCAATTGACATTGACGAATTGCGTTCACGGGGAGTGACATTATTCTTGTAAATATTTTAACCTGAATTTAGGCCGATTGAAAAGGAGATCCCCTCTCTTCCGGACACAATATCATGTTACTTTATCGAGCCAACGGCAGAAAACATCAGAAGCTTAACTTCGTGCGACTTGGTTTCTTTGCCTCGCCAGCCAAAGACATATGACTTCAATTTTTGTGGATCAATTTCTAGAGAAAATCTAGAGGACCTTGCACAAGGGGCTGCAGTTGCAACCGTTAAATCATCGTCTAAAGTCACCAAAGTAGGGTGCCTTTCAAATGTTTAGGTTGTCGACCGCCTTGTAAATTTTATCTCTTTGGAGGAGGATCTTTTTTCTCTTGGACTTGAAAGCTCCTTTACGATCATGTCAAAAGCAATTGCTAATTTGCACGATGAATCTGTCATGAAGCTCGTTGAAGACTGCTCAAATGGCTTATTATCTGTGGCCGTAACATTTGGTAGTTTTATTCCATTTTTATTGCCTAGAAATGGCGAATCTCGCCATCTTGCCGCTACAATGCGGGTCATCTGCATTTGTCAATCTTTTGGTCCGACGCCTTCAATCGAAAATTCGGGACTTTTATTTGAGTGCAAAGAATCGGCGGCCAAAAATACCGTCGCCCCCATGCTCGGATTTAATGCTGCTATTCGACAGGAATCAGGATTTAATTTCGCCTCTAAGACATAAATGGAGCTATGGAGCGCTGGTCCATGATTTTTTCCCGGTCAGGCTAAATAGAATTCTCTCGCTTGGAAAAGAAGAGTCCGCCCAGCTACTACTTTCTTGGAAGGATCCCATTTGGAAACATGCATCGAGGCTTTCTTTTCCAGATGCTTGTACGCTTTTCGGAGATGAATTGCAGACGTATCAAAAAGCATATGCTCAAATTTCTGGAGGAGATGGGGATGAAATCGAACCGCTTCGAAAGGCTCTTGAGGAGATTCCAGCTCTTCGAGAAAAAAAGCATTGGATCGACACACATTTGTTGCTGGCATCTGCTCTCCTTCCACAGATATCCCAAAGACGTCCCGACCTTTTTCGAGAATTGGAAACTGCTCAGCCATCTGCTAATATTTCACTTCCTGAACTCGATCCCATTGACGAAGGTGATAGAATTCGGCTTTTGCTTGTCGTTTTTCTCTCTTCAGGAAAAGACCAAAGGCTGCTTCCATTTTTAATAGAAAAGTTTAGCCTTAAGGAATCAGCATCGCTGGCAAAGGCCCTTCATGCTATTGTTCCTGAATTTACCATGGCCTCTTCATTATCAGATTCTACTTCTCCAAACGCCACCCCAAACGACATTCCAGAGCAGAAAGTATCGATCTTTGAGACGCTTTCCACGTCTGGAAATGTGGTAGCTTCATCTCGCATTGCAAAGATGGTGATGCAAGGGATCCAAAGAATTTCCAACCAGGTTTTATCGCCCTCTGGTGATGATGATGCTTTGATGCCAATCATTCGATATGTAGATGCGGCTCTTCGTGGAGAAGGAGAGTCTCGAATGCCAGTGACAGCAGGTAGCTCAATGTTGCCAAAGCGTCTGGTTGTATTCGTAGTTGGCGGAATTGCGTATGACGAGTACCAGAGCCTCTCTGCTTTTCTTGCCCGAAATTGGCCAGGCATCGAGGTTGCTATTGGTGGAACATCTCTATGCTCTTCGTCGGACTTTCTTGCCCAATTATATCAGACTGGGGGTAGGGATAGTGAGACCCACCCAAATGCTACCTGTTCGTAGAAGTTAATTGTATCTAAATAAAAATCACATCTTCAACAGAAGACGACGATGCACTTTAACAAAATAGAGGATATGCAAAGCGATACTGACGGGCACCAAGCTAGGGTGTGGTTAAAAATTGGGCCTACAAAGGAGGCTTGCATGTAAATTGGGCCTACAAAAATTCCAAGTGGCAATAAATGTTGGTAGCTAGTGCCAAAGAATCATTAATTACATGTAACTTTTCAAAAGGGTGGGCCATGCTCATAAATTAAAAGTTTAATGGAGATAATCAACAGATCCAGAACCGGGTAATTTGACTCATGGGATATTTCATTTGGAATAAGACCAACTGCCCTCCACCGTTGGGATCACTGTACCAATTTGAAAGGCGGCGAGGAAATTCTGTAACTCTTCTGAGCTCGAGTGCTCCGAGTATGGCACTTCTAGAAAAGTGATTCGGCCTCGGTGACGTGGAAGCGTGCCTTTTCGGCTGCTGCTTCTAATTGAAGGCTGGGTCTGGCCCGTGGATAGTGTCGGCTTTTCCACATATTGAGTCTGTTTTTGTGCATCCTGTAAGTCGTTGGGATCAATGCCTTCCTGTTTGATACAAACTTTAGCACTCCCTGCTTCGATTGTTTTCTCAATCATCAAATGATCTCCACTAGCTTGATGAGGTTCAATGGTCAGTTCGGCTTTGGTGGCAAATTTAATTCCCGTGACCATCTTGGCTTTAGGGGCCACTTTTGATCTAAAGGGTTGCCCAGCCGTCCATCCTGTGGCACGAACCGCGATGATGTGCGTATAGTGCGGTCGGAAACGATCCAACATTGCCCCAAGGACCTCGTCTGAGGAGAGATCCATCATATTGACGACATGTACTCGCGCTGTGAGCGGGTCATCACTCAGCATTTCCGCAGGAAAAAGAAGCTCCATAATTGCCCTTTTACGATCAGAAGCTGTCCATAGACGGGTAGCGAGCAATTTGGCCAGCCGCTCGCAAACTCTTTCTTTGCCAATTGTGTATGTGCCCACAACGATCAAGTATGAGAGCGGAATAAGCTTACCGCGATTTCCTTGCACCACAATACGATGGACTTCGTCTGTAAGCAGTGTGAGCACATGCTCCTGCGACGGAAACACCATGCGGCTTTCCATATATGTCGTGTCCAAGTATACCACGTCCAGAACTTTGGGCTTGCTTGCCTGTTTCTGTATGGCAGATCCAGATAGTTCATCGCCTTTACCTACTGCGATAATATAATTGGTCAATACCTTCATCAATATTGGCCTCGATGACCTTACGGAAGGGGGTGAGAGCAGGTGCCCCGATGATCCGTTCAGGGCAGGCTCTAAAATCACCAGTATGTAGAATATGCCGGGAAATCTTGCTAGAGGCATCTTCGATCGTAAAAAGGAACATCACTGCTCCAGGGCAATGGTTGGCATCGAAAAGTGTAACACTTACTCGTGGTTGGGATATTTCTGGATAAGTCGAGAGGCTTCGCTCAGAAGTATCTGCATCAAGTATATTTATGTCAACAGGATTTTCGGCATCATTATCAGAAAGCCTTATATGCTCATCTTTTAAACTGACACATGCATATTCTCTTTCCTTTTGGATGATTTCGGAAACCAATATGGGACATCCCAAAGGTAGGGGATGTAACATAGCTGCAGGAAGGCGGAGTTGCAGTTGACACAATTGGGCAGTTATGGGTGAGCAGAATATCGGTGTGCCTCGGAACTTCCGTCCAAGCCCTGCATAATGATCTGCGTGAAAGTGACTAGGATTAGAGGTGGTGTCAGGCGATACCTATGAATAGGCTGTTGTTAGAATTACCTTAGAAAATATGCAGTGACACCAGGGATTGCATCATGCGTAAAGCAGTCGACCACATATGACGTACCTGCAAGGAATTTGTGTGCAGCCGGGAAGGTGCTCCTCTTGCCAAATCTGTTACCCATGAAATCCGGAAAAATTTCAGGTTGCTTTTCCTAAAAACCTCCTCTCAACTAGTTGGAAAGCACAAAAATCTCCAATCAAGACCTTTATACTCCAACTCTAAGCAGCACTTGCAGAAAATGTTCCCACAAATGAACATTACAAAGATAATCTTTAACAGCAGCTTTCACTTGATGTTATCAAATCTTGCATCTCATATTTCATTTCCATTTTAAGACTAGAAAAAACTGGATGGGAAAATACGGCACCAAACGGATATTGGAAGTTCATTAGGATCAATCCGGTCCAGTGTTAATCAATGGACTCGCGGCTTATTTTCGGATGCACCCGTTCAGACTTTGTCCTGCTACAATTTCAATTCAGATTCAAACTGGATGGTATTTATTTGCAAAGAATCTCCGTGCTTTCTGTAATTTGCAAGCAGGTCCAGGGGAAATCAGAGCCCGAATGCGATCCACAGGAAGCGAAAGCTTGTATCCTGTTAAATAAATTTCATTTTCCCGGCTCCTGCCCCATTCTGCTGCGAAATAAGGAGGATTTATATACGGTGGGCGAACCTGTTGTTGCAGATTGTTGGACCCCAGAGGCTGGGGATATTTGGGCCTCGGATGCAATTGCAACATGCGGTCTGGGCCGTTTTGTAGGCCCATCTTCCCCTGCCAGTTCTGTCCAAAAGCCCGAGACGGATTTTGCATTGGTGTCCGGAATAGCTCGTTGGCTCTGTATTAATACCCTGCGCACTGTAGCAGCTTCCTTTTTTCCTGGTTGCTGACATTCATTTGATGGAAAATCCTCCGATAGACGATAATTTTGCAACGCAGGAGCATCTCCTCTTGCTGCCAAGCTTCTCTGTTTGCCACTATTTTTATGGTCGTCTTCGTCGTCATCAAGATTGATTAAGTCTAGGGCCGATCGTCTTATCTTACTAAGCTCGCCGCAGGGCACGATCCGCGGTATGCCTTCTTCTGGAGGCCTTCGCCTGCGAAAGCGCTTCACATTTATCATGAGTTGGTTCAATTCTCCAAATTTTAATTACCATTTTGCAAAACGGCTACGAAGGCTGCCTGTATATCAGGCGAGAAATAGAGATATTGCGTCGGACGGCATGTGCAGACTTTTCCTGGAACTTGAACGTAATACGCGAGCCCGATTTTGTAGAGCCATTCGCTGGCGCAGCTGCCAAGGGTTCTGCCATCGGTCGCCCAAAAAAGTCCCGCCTGGTCTTTACAGGCTCGGAAGCCGAGCCAATCGCCTTGGTGAGTTCCTTGATTGGCTCTTCAAGCGTTTGCTTAATGAAGGCACTTGATATGGCACGAAAGGCTCCTGAATTTCTGTTGCGCGCGAGTGCCAGCTGCTTTATCCTAAATTCTTCTACCATCCTCGTAACGGTGGGAAGAAGGGTCAGTATGGATGAATTGAGATTGTGCTCAATTTTCAATCTATCACCGTAAAGTCCAATCGCATACTGTGGAATCAATATCGTGGCACTGTCTATCGCGGGCTCAACGGTAAGTGCATATGCATGCAGAAATCTTGCAAACTCGGTCAAGGCATCTGAGCCGATACGGCCGGGCAGCAATAGCGAGGCGGGTGGTCGCAATCTTGCGCTCAGAAACGGCAGAACCTAGCAATCAAAATGCCGCTGGTACCTAAAAATAGCAAAGAACAATATATACCTAAGTATGATGAGAGCAATGTACCATTACCTCATGCGCAAGGGAAGTGCGACGTGCCGCCATCGATGCAAAAAGAGACAGCGAATTTGGCGCCGTCCGATGACCCTCGTGAAGCCAAAAGCTTATAGAACTCTGACGTTCATCACAAAGGCGTGTTGCTTCGCGATGTGCCTTTGGCAGTGTTACGATGGAGCTCCTGATGGTTGGCGTAAGGCGGAGCGAAATGCCACCTCCAAACCCGATGTGAAACTGCAGCACAACTGCTGGAAGCAGAGAGAGGCCTGTATGGCCCCGCTGGATATCGCCGACATCTTTGCAAGCAATCAATTCTGTTAGCTCGACCACCTGGGTAAATAAAACTAAATAACCAGAACGCTTACCTATGAGAAAATAGAGCTACAAGGACATTACCTGCACATTGATTAATGATCGAAAAAGTTACCTTGGCGAGTTGGTTTCCAATGACGCTGCCAAACGACGCACAGCGCAGGTACGCTTCGAAGCAGCCTTCAAAAACGCGTTCGAGATCGTCACCCAAAAGCTCGAGTCTTCGAAACAGAAGACTCAACAATTGTTGTCGTTCAGAGCCTTGTCCTGTTGCCACAGAAAGGGGCCCAAGGCGATCTCGCGTCAGAAAGATGTCCTCCATGACCTAAAAAGAATAGAAGCAACAAAAACACCTTAAAATAGAGACTCGCTGAGGGTGCACATGCAGTACTAGTGATCGATACAATCGCCCGAGATACCAAATTTGGGGTGTTGTATCGAGGATTCTCGTTGGATTTTTTACTAGCGTCATGAGGATCTAATCCTAATATCGTCTCTTGTTGGACTTCGATAGCGGCAAACTGTAAGGCATTCAGTGATTCACGGATATCACCACCGGTAAGGCTGACGAGTTTTTCGAGTTGAGGGCGCTCCCGGTTAGCAATGCATTGTGCAGTAAGAATTTCTTGCAGCCGCTCTGCAGCCCGCGGCACAGATACAGTGCAAGCAACCATGTGAGCAACGGCCCTCAGCGGCTTTAAAGTATACACCCATGGATCTGCGCATATAACAACAATGGGGCGGCGAACTGGCTGCCCGTTTGTCACTACACGAATAATAGCGTTCACAATAGCGCTGCAAATGTCGGCAGGTGCTGCATCTAGTTCTTCCAGAAGCACCAAAAAGGCCTTTGATCCGGACAAGGAAGTGAGAGCAAGGGAATCCGTGGTAAGGCCAGTGGTAATCTTTTCCGTAACAGATGCTGCATTTTCTTCGCCTGTTGCCGCATTTATGATCAGTGGGGAAAACCCGATGGCCTCTGCAGTGACCCGAACAAGGGTGCTTTTTCCACAGCCAGGACGTCCATGTAATATGAGAATCTTGTGGGAAATGAAAAAAGCAAACCTTTTTGCCATCCGTTGGCGAGGCATGCCGCTCTTTCCACGAAAGGAGCCATTGAAGCACTTCCTTATTCACATGATCAGCCGTAACAAGCTCTGTGAACTTTAATGGAGCAAAAATTTGACTCCACAGCCCACCAGAACTACGAACATTCTGCCTCGCAAACCGTTTTGCTTTTTGATCGGTGTGAAGTGAGCTGGCTGTCGGTGCGACAAGAGCGCGAATAACTGCCTGATGGATACTGCGATCTGTACGATCAGTCGTATCGAAATCCATATCATCAGATGCAGCATTACTTTTTCGTGGGAATGTCTTCGATGTTCCATCAATTCCTGTTATCATCAATGACGAGCTACCAGAAGAAAGACTGTGGGAAAACAGAGCAAAGGTTGATGATGTCTCGGAAAAAGATGGCAAAGCTGGCATCTCGCTTGTATCAAAGGCATCCTCTGTCAAACTCGTGTCAAGACGTTGCCGCTTTGGCACTTCAGGAAATGGGTGTATACGAACCGTACATGCAGGGCTCGAAAGCAGAAAATTCCGCGTAGAGGTGACAGCAAGCTCTGCTTCTGAGGACCAGCCGCAAGTTTCTGGAGTCCCATGGCAGGGAGAGGCGACAGCCTCTGCTTCTGCCTCGAAGATATCCCAGATCTCGCAGTTGTCCACGGGAGCGGGCATGGTAGCTGGCTGGGCTGCACTGAAGTTAATTAAATGAATTTATTGAACACATTGAAGTTGGGGTTGAATTTCAGCACGCACTAGTTTAGTAAAATCCCTTGAATATTTTGATGTTTCCTTTCCTGGATATGCGTCTTTTATGCTGATCGGTTGATAGCGAGGAGCATATATGGACCCGTGGTAGGAATCTGCCATGGAGCCTACGCCTCTTTCTGCGGCGCTGCAGATCTTCCGCATTCGCGAACGCTTTGGAGACCTGTATGTGGGGCCTCGGGCGGGGGCCCCGCCTACAGCTGGCGATTGCGTCGAGACGCAAGACGAGGTTCTTTGTCTTGCGGAGCGGATGGGCCGTTTTAGATTTCCCGGTACTGTTGAGCGGCCCTTGCTTAAGATGACCAACATTCCATGGGAGGTTTCCAGCGGCGACGTGCGAGCCTTTTTCCACGAATATGAAGTCGAGATTGCGGGCATCCATATCCCGATCGACCGTGCTAGCGGAAAAACACGCAACGAAATTTATGTCGAGTTTTCCGAGTTCAGAGAGCTGGTGGATGCGCTTGCGCGTGCTCATCGCCAGCTGCTTAAAAGCAGAGAGGTTTTTCTTATGCGCTCTTCGTGGATTGAACTTCTCAAGGCGCATTTTCCACGTGCATGTAAGGATGCGCTACTGACAACGGAGGAGGAGACCTCGCTTGCCACGATTTGCCGCTACTACAAGGTATTGATGAGAAATTTAATGATCAGGTAGGTGTTAATAATGTGGAGCTTTTTCCTGATTCATTTCTCGCGTAGGTGTGCTGAAAGACCCTTTGAGCATGTATATAGTCTTGTGCGTTTGGCGCCATGGGCTACCATCTCCAAAAGTGCCTGCGCTCAGATGCATGCCGTAGTGCTTTCAACGGTGGAAGCCCTTCTTGGCCATCTTTTCAAGAAACAGAAATCCTCATGCCCATGCCAGCAGGCAACGAACATGGCGCTTCAAAGCGGCTTAGAGATTTCATTGGCACAGCGATTGCTAGATCTGACTGTCCAGCGAGGACAATGGGATAGCGCGCAGCTGAAGATGCTGGAAAAAAAGCAGCAAGAAGTAGCTATGCTGGAGAGTCAACGAATCCCAGAGACTTCCTGCTGCTCCATTATCGACCAGCTGCAGAAGAGGATTTCTGCCTACCAAGAAAACTGCAAGTGCCAGATTAACTGCGACATGTGATGTGGATGCGGTGCATAATCATATTGTACAAATTTTAATAAACGAACTTGTAACCCTGGCAGGGAACCCCGTATCTTAAGGCTATCAACTATATAACCTGCCTCTCGTTTGAGCAATTGTGTGGTTAGGGCTGACGTTGGGCTTCCTCAACCTTGACGCGGAGTATTCGTCGCCACTACGTGCTTGGTATGGTGCATGTTATTAGCCCCGGCGCATGCACTGTATTTCAATTTAATTCAAATTTATTTGCCAAGTTACAATTTGACATAATTTTTATTCATGCCCCAACAGGCCACAACCAGAAAACATGAGATTGACGAGTCGTTGTATTCACGCCAATTGTACGTCCTCGGCCATGATGCGATGAAACGCATGCTTTCTTCTTCTGTTCTTTTACTCGGTATGGGTGGTCTTGGCGTGGAAATCGCCAAGAATCTCGTCCTTGCAGGCGTCCATTCGCTAGTCATCTATGACGAGACATTGGTAACCATCCAAGACTTTGGCTCACAAGTATTACGCTTAAATTTACGGTTAGTACTACCTCACAGAGAAGGACATCGGATCGCGGCGTGATGAGGCGTCTTTGGAGCACCTCCGTTCGCTCAACATGAACGTTTCTGTCACGGTTGGCTTAAACCCCGCCAAAATGCAAGCATCATCAGCGGACTTTTCAATGTCATCCACCTTGAAAAAAGGGCCTTGCTACTTTGTTGACAATTCGTTGCTACAGAGTGCAGATGTTGTGATCTTGAGCGAGCTTATCGACTATGAAGGTGCGTGGTTTTGCTAATTTCAGACGAAGTCGTTGCTTTGGATGAGCAATGCGCTGCGATGAACGTTCATTTTATTGCCGCATGCGCACGTGGGCTCTTTGGGTTCGTTTTTTGCGATTTCCTGGAAAATTTCACCGTTCTGGACACGAATGGGGAGCCGCCACTCAGCGGCCTCTATGATCATCTATCGCAGCTTGAAAATGCAGAGGTCATTGTGACATCTCATGAAGACTCTCGCCATCAACTGGAGGCTGGCGATTCCGTCAAACTAGTGCCATCAAAGTCCAACACTACGTTTGGCCCTTTCTTTGTCAAGAAAATCATTGATGCCTTTTCATTTACAATTGACATTGGCTCAAACCGCATGCCAGAAGGCGTGCTTTCAGGGGAATTTGTGCAGACCAAAGTTCCAAAGCGGATTGATTTCGTGCGAATTTATCTTTGCTTATTTTGTATAGAAAAGAGCCAGTGCCATCTTTTCGGAGGGCGCCCATGTTCCATTCATTTGCTCGGACTTTGCCAAGGATGACCGGTCACTTCCCATTCTTATTGCGTTCATTGCAATCGGGGGCTTTTGGAAAAAATACGAGCGTTTACCGATTCCGCAATCCATAGAGGATGCGAATAGATTTATCGAGATTTGTGTGCAAAAGTCCGTTCTGTTTAACGTGGATCGATCTAAAAACGAACACTTGTGGCGGCAATTTGCGTTTGGCGTGACAGGCTCTATCCCGGCCATATGCTCCGTCATTGGAGGGCTGGTGGCTCAAGAGGCGCTAAAGGTTCCATTCTTCCCCCCTCTGATCATTAGTCTATCAGTGGAAAATTTTGCCCCATCCAGCAGTACTTTTGCTTTGATGCCGCGGAATGCCTCCCAAATTCTGCAGGGCCGCTTGCTCCTACACCCGAAAACACGGCTCCAATCAATAGCCGCTATGACATGCAATATGCTGTTTTTGGGAAGAAGTTTGTTGATGTTGTCCAACAGCAGGGGGTTTTTCTGGTGGGCGCTGGCGCAATCGGTTGTGAGCTATTGAAAATATGGGCAATGATGGGGGTTGGTCTTCGTGGTTCCTCCTCCATCGTCGTCACGGACATGGACTTGATTGAGCGGAGCAATTTAAATCGACAGCTCCTCTTTCGATCTACCGATATTCAGATGCCAAAGAGCGTCACGGCCGCTGCCGCCGTTGAGCGGATGAACTCGGATTATACGAAAAAGCCGATTGTCGCACTTCAAGAACGAGTTTCGCCCGAATCAGAACGTAACTTGAACTGCTGTGATTTTAGATATTTTCGGAAGGAATTTTTTTTCTGGTATCGACATCGTTGTCAACGCTTTGGATAATGTCGATGCAAGGCGTTACGTAGATCGTAGATGTGTTTTCTTTGAGAAACCGCTACTGGAGAGCGGCACATTGGGTACAAAGTGCAACACCCAGGTATGTGTTTCAGCTTGCTGATTTTCGCGTCTTTGTTACAAAAATACGCTTCCACTTTGGCTTCCTCTTTTGCTGCTTTGTCTTTGCAATTTAGATGTTATTTTTTTCCTTTGGGCCCGCAATTTTACCCTTGCGTTTCCTTTTTTGATTCTTTTGCATCTTCATATCAATCATTTCTCATTGGCTGCATAGGTTGTGTTGCCCCGTGTCACAGAATCATACTCGTCCTCGCAGGATCCTCCAGAAAAATCGATTCCCGTGTGCACACTGAAAAACTTTCCAAGCAACCCGGAGCATACGATCCAATGGGCACTTGATCTTTTCCAAGGCCTTTTCAAGAACGGCCCTGAAGTTGTGGGCCAATACTTGGAGTCTGGTTCGTTGGGCGAGTTTAGGGACCGATTTTCATCCAACTCCCCAGACTCCATTGTCATTTTGAAGGAGACGCTTTTGGATGAGTTTCCAAAAGATTTCGAATCGTGCCTCATATGGGCAATGAAGCTATTTGTTGGCTCTTTTCGAAATCCCATTTCACAGCTTCTGTTCAATTTCCCTCCAGATACAAAAACAAGCACGGGAGCCGATTTTTGGTCGGGCCCCAAACGGTGCCCCACGCCCATTGAGCTGGACCTCTCGATCCCGCTGCATCAAGAGTTTATTTTTTCGGCTGCAAGACTTCGAGCCGATGCGTACTCGATTGAAATCCCATCGGCCCCGATCAAGTTGGAAGACATTCTCTGCAAGGCAAAAATCGAAAAATTTGTACCCAAAGATGGAATGAAAATTGCAACGACCGATCGAGAAGCTGAACAGGAAGGAGCTAAAGAGGTTTCGCTTGATCTTTTTTCGCTACTGCCCGAGCCAAACAAGGTGGCAACATGCCACCCAAAGCCACTTTCCTTTGAAAAGGTAGGTTTTTTGCTCATCTGCTGCTAGGACGACGATGCTAACTTTCACATTTCTTTTATAACTGCCGCTGCAAATTTGCGCTCGATGAATTATGGCATTCCGGTCAGTGATCGACACACTGTCAAAGGCATTGCTGGGAAAATAATTCCCGCAATTGCGACGACAACTGCGTTTGTAGCTGGACTGGTGTCCCTCGAATTTTACAAGGTAATGATGCGCTTGGCTTAACGTTGTTAGGTTGTTCAGTTCCTTTTCAACAAAGCAGAAATTCCAGTGGAGAGCTTTAAGAACGCGTTTTGCAATTTGGCGCTTCCATTCTTTGCCTTTTCGGAGCCAATACAGGCAGCGTTGTTAACAAAAGGACGGCCATGGACACTATGGGATAGGATTATAATGGATTCCACCAAAACCCTTGCAGACCTTATCAAATACTTTCAGGAGAACGAGCAGCTGGATATTTCCATGGTTTCTTGTGGAACATCGATGCTTTACTCGCCTTTTATGATAAGATCAAAGGATGAAGAACGAAAACGAATGGCATTGACCCTTCCCGCACTGATCGAGCATGTAACTGGATCGACGAGCTCCATTGGCGATGAATTTGTTTTGGAAGTACTCGCTAGCGACGCTGAGGGAGATGACGTTGATGTTCCATTTCTCATCGTCACTCCATTTCAATAAATATTGACGGCAAGTGGTGATTGGACTCGAAAGGGGCAAAGGGCGGAGTGTGTGGGGCTTGTCAATTTAACCGGTTCGAAAGGGGGCCCCTATTTGGGTGTGGAGTGCGGTGGCACAATAAAAATGGACAACGGGTTAGGGTTAGGTTTATTGAAAGGCGCCTACGCCAGCAAAAGCTTGGACATTTTTGCTTGCAAAAAGTCACTGCAAGGTTTCCTCCTTGTTGGAGCCGGGGAAATGACGTCTAAGCTTGGTATTACGTCCCAACCTAGCATCTCCTCCATGATTTTCACTCCAATCGACATGGAATAGTGTTGAGGATCTAAAAAATCAATGGCATCACTTACTGTCTCAAGTACTTTGCACCTTTTTTGGCAACCAGTCGATTCCTTGGGTGGTTCGATGTACCGCACGCGTGAGAGGACATCCCTGAAGGGAGTAAACCTCTTTGCATGAACTTCATTGAGGTGATCTTTGACGACAGTTTTTTCTTTGCAGGCGAACTGGCGCTATCGGGGGTTGGTAGACAAACAGCGGTAGCCGTACAAGGTGAGCCCATTGAGTTGCGGAATTTTTTCTGCTTTTATAAAATGTTAAATTCCGGCTTTTCAGAATTTATAAATTATCTCGCAATACCAAACGAAGGTCATCTAGACATGGCCGTAGCAAAGCCCTCTTGATCGATCGGTTGCGGTGCCCAATGGCAACCTTGCCCCTAATGTTTGTTGATTTATTTTGATTAGTAGGGCAGGTTGAGGACCTCGTTTCCGCAGCGACCGGCAGGGGGCAAATTGGATAAAGCGGATGGAGCTTCGGAATATGCGGAAATGTGCTGGTGAGAGGCTTGATATGGGTCGGATTGTTTGCAAGTACATTCTATCTTTTATCACTTGCGGCTAACCTGTCAACGGTCACATCTCATTTCGCGGTTTTTGTGCCTTCTTTTAATTTTCGCTATATGGGAACCATTTGGAATTGATGCTATCGAAATATTAATGCGTTGATATTTTATTGAGTGATCGATTAATGGGCGGGTTGTTATAAAGATCACTATTTGAGAATTTCCTGGACTACCTACGGTATGCGATTTTTTTCAGAAAGCTCTTCTTTCCAATTTTCTAGTATCTTTGCTTGCTTATGTTGTTCTTTGATTTCATCTTCAATTACTTTTATTAACTCAGGAACCACAATTTTAAGATTTTCTTTGAAAGCATCTTTTGGGTTTCTTTTCGACCTTTTAAGGTCGAAAAGAAACCCAAATTTCAAAAAAATTTCATTCAAAAAAAATTGATTTTGTTGTATGCCATAAAGTATCGAGAATTCTCTTTTTTTAGGTTTATGAATTATCTTTGGAGGAGTGCATTCCTCGTCATTAAGTTCTCGAGCATTGTCTGCATTAACAAGGATGTAATTGCCCTGAACCTCTGAATGTTCACAAACGATCCAAGAAGGATCTAATGTCGAAGAGCCCTGATCTTGAATAATATTTTCAAGAAACTCACTTGAACGACTCAAGTTAACTTCAATTTCCTGGATATAATCGTGGATTGTTTTAAAAAAATTGAAATCATCGTCGATTAGGCCAGTTTCATGTTTTTTCATTCTAATTTCATCCTTCTGATGTTTTATCATATTAATTACTTGAGTAATCTGCTTTGATAGCTCGGAAGCCTTTTCCATTTGACAATTATTTGGATCATTCTGAATCTCGGAGATTAACTTGAAAATACCAAAGTTGGCTTGTTTTACTCGAGACAGCTTACTTAATCCGGATATCGAAAAATATTTTTTTAGAAAATCAAAGAGCTTAATCATTATCTTAACTTGATCGTTGTAGATATCCAAATATTTTTGGTTAAAAGCATTTTGAGGTAAGCTGCGAATAAAGTCAGCGAAAATATCTTCAAGATTGCAGTAAACATTCTCAAAAGGTTCTTTAGTACAGCTACATACAAAGAAAAGTAAATTCGAACAAATGACAAAAGCAAGGAGAAGATTTATAGGAACGCTAGCTTTCATAATTAAAAATACATTCGGTTTAAGGATATTAGTCAATTAAATTCGTCTTGCAAATTGCATGATTATTAAGGGGGTGCGATCTATGAAAAGTGTGATATTTTTAAATTTAAATGGTTTCGGTTATTCAGGACGATAGTGTGAAGGAATATAATAAAACCGGAGGCAAAATTCAAATTAAATGACCCCTCTTACCAAACGATAGAGAATTCCTGGCTACTTGAAAGACACATTCGTTTAAAACCCCGCCTCTATTTAAAAATTAAATTGTTTCTGTGTATTAAGTTAGATCAGTCAAAGTAGCGCTGGTGCTTGCTGGGGGGAGGGCTGCCGGCAGAAGCACGACCGCCGCGGTTTCCACCGCGATTTCCGCCACGGTTACCACCGCGATGGCCATTACCTCCCTGAGGAGTATTAAACTCGCGCTTTCGTGGCGATGAAGATGGATTATCAAAGTCAAGTCTAACAAAGCGTCCCTCTATTTCAAAGCGAGGGGCGGCGTGCGCGGCGACAGCCGACGACGTATCGGCAAATTGAACAAACCCATAGCCGCGAGATCGGCCGTCCTCAGTATTGGTGGGAATACGGCAGGATATGACTTCACCGTACGAGGAAAATGCATCCTTCAACATCGATTCGCTGACAGAAAAGGAAAGATTTCCAACAAAAAGAGTCGGAGTCGGTGGAGATGAGGACCCAGGAGATGACGGTGCCGACGAAGCACCCCTTGGAAATCTTTGTGCGTCAGATGCAGGGCGCGAAGCGGCACGGTCTATATTGAGACTTCGACCGGAGAGTTCTAAAGCATTCTCGCTGAGAACGGCATCAAGAGAATCTTCTGTCGCAAATATGACATAAGCAAAGCCCTTAGAGCGGCCCGTACGTTGATCGGTAATCAAACGAACGCTTTGAACTGGCCCAAATGGCGAAAAGAGGTCCATAAGAGCCTCTTTTGTAGCATCGTATGGAAGGTTACCTACAAATAGTGTGAATTCAGATGGCGGTGGCGACGACGATGGTGATGGTGTGAAGGATTGAGCGGGCTCAATATGAAGAGGTTTTGTTTCTTCTTCAGAGTCAGCATCAGAAGATGAAGAAGAGCCTTCTGAGGAGGATTCGTCATCTGAAGAATCATCGGAAGAGTCTTTTTTGGATGTTTTCTCAGAAGAAGAATCTTCAGAGGATGACTCATCTGATGAATCTGAAGACGATTCTGAGGAGGATGAATCCGAAGACGAGTCAGAGGACGAAGACGATGAATCTGAAGACGATTCTGAAGAGGATGAATCTGAAGACGAGTCGGAGGACGAAGACGATGAGGAGCTGGAAGAGCTGCTGCTATCATCTGTATCGTTCATGCTTTTAAGGGCCTTGTCAGATAACTCTGAATCCGATGATGAAGTGGAATCGGAAGACGAAGGAGGAGGCTGCGGGGCTCGACGAGGTGGCATTGTAGTGTTTGATAAAAAAACCGTTGAAGGATTTTTATTTATGGCCGTGTAAAATGCGAATTTGAATTTAATTTTCTTTATTTTATTTTATTTTATTTTATTTTTACTCCACGTTAATTTAATAAATTATGTGTTCCATGCAAAAGGTCATCAACTTAATGTATCTAGCGAAGAAATAGTATCCCCTGCATGCATGACATATCGAATATTTTTTTGGTCGAGTCAAACTTTTCTGTAACAAAATGGTTTCTTTGGATTTGAGTCTGACAAATGCAGACTGCATGAAAATAAAATACCATGGATGCGACAAAAAGGATCGCGTTGATCAGATAAAAGTGCCCAATTTGTACAAATATTTCAGCGTAGCTTGATAGTGTTCGTGTGCTTTGATCTCATCTCATCATCGATGCGATGACTCAATCTTTTTGAGGAGATCACAGCATGATTGGCCTACATCAGCCAATAGTATCGATTGTAAATTGTAATTTGTTTACTACGCGACATTTTAAAAGCTAATTTTCCGTTACATCCCCTTATTTGAGATGTCCACGAGCGCTTGCAACACTGACGTCCGAGGAACAGGATCGGGGAGTGGTGCATCTGTGCCCCGTCGACGGCGTGGCTCGGAGAGCATTCCGGCCTCAAAGCCATCGTCTAATGGCACACAGCCCATCCCCATCCACCAAAGAGGGTCCCATCCTCAACAATTATATACCGATGCATCGTCTCGTCTTGCAGTTGCTAATGCGACATCTTTGATGATGAACTCTCCAGCGACGACAGACTCTTCGCACCTTTGTCTTGTTTGCGATGATAGCTGCACTTGCGCTCCTACCCCGCTTTCTCAGCTTCAGTCCGCCTCGTCATCGACGGTCCTCTCCAAATGCGTTAAGACGCTCTCAAACGTCGATAAAGTAAGCTCGATCCATCAGTTTCTTTTTCATCTACCCATTGATCAGATATTTACCTTTTAGGATACTTTACTACAAGCTCTTAAGCAAATGTCACCGCGAGTCTTCAACTCCATTACGCAGACGTTAAAAAAGAAAAAGATCCTGTCAACAGAAGAGTCGGCCACTCCGGTGCAAGATTGGACGCCTTCTTACGGGGGATCTTCAGATTTTCCCTCCACTTCACCTGAATCTCTGGTTATCATTGATAATAATATCTCGTATGATCATCAGGCTTCATTTTACAATCACTTGAATCTGATTTCTGCTAATGCCGCTTCATCGACTTCGCCTTTGGCATATTTTCCTTTAGTAGAGGAGTCTGGCGAGTCTCCCTTAGACGAAGGTCCCAATGGTGCGAAAAGGACACTCTCTACGTCTCCTGCTGCCCCCGTGTTTGCTGCACTCTCTCCTCCGGTAAATTATTTGCTGATGGAAGAGCTGCTTGAGATGGATCAAATGATTGATGACCCTGTGTCTTCAGAAGAATATGAACGTGTTTTTTCGCGTATCCAATCGGCTTCCTCTACCTTTGGCAGACGGAGATCCTCAATTCCGCCTTTGAAAAAGATCGCAAAAACAGCCGTTTTTCGCAATCCCAATGCGGACCCTTTTATTAATGGCAATCCCCTAGCACCTGCCCATCATCCATCATCACCCAATGACGATGTTGTTTATTATGAAAAGGTTACGTCGTGGCTCTCACCTTCAGAAACATCGTCGCTTATATCTGCTCTCAAGTTTGATACTCGCGATCAAAATCTCTGTGGACTTGCGGATGTACCCTTCTGTGAGGCCGTTCATGTTCCAAAGCCGCCGAACGAAGAAAAGAAGCAATCCAGTTCGAATCGGATACTGTCTGGGCTGTTAAAGGACTTGGCTGGCGTCAGCGTTGCAGATCAACAATCCTCATGTGATGAGTTCATTGAGATCGAATTTCCTGGCGGTTATTCTGATGATCTGGAAGATGATTCTGCCGATGATCTCGAAGATGCTCCAGATGATTTGATGGAAGATGATTCCATCAGCTGGCCTTCTGTGCGGTCAGTGCCTAGGCCGACGACGACGTTCACCGTCGATCCAAAGTCTTTGATGGTCAACTATGCCTCTCTGGATTTGGACGAAGTCAATTGTAACTCTGTCACTTCGGAATCGATGACGTCTTCTCTTGATTCCGATTATTGCCAATATTCCATCTGCGATTGTAGCGGAATATGTTTCTGCGGTGCCTTTTTAGAAGTCAAGCTGGGGTCTGATTGTGGATTGGAGGACGATATTGGCTGCAGTGGAGCCGATCCCCGCGATGCGCTGTTGAGTGTGTGTTGCGGCGACGATGTGATCGTATATGATGATGTTATTGCCATCTAGGCCTTGGTGTACTATATTGTTAATTTATAAAGCATATCACTTTTATTTCAGTGAATCTCTGGTGTCTTGTAGGCCCTTCCTCCTCATAACCCTTAAATAATTAAACAAGGCGCAGCACGGAGGCTAAGATTGGGCTGGGAAGTGGTGTCTATACTAGCTTTCAACCGACAACCCTAACCCTAAACCGCGAGTTTTAATTAAAAAAGCTATGGAATGGGTTCGGGAATGCATGGTCTTGTTAGAGGAAAAAAACTACTCATGGGTTGCGTCTCTTTCTGCCATAGATTTTCTGGAAAATAACCTCTGGGAAGCTGATCGGTTTCCGATTCATTTAAAGAATCATCTTTGGTGCTTTCCAGCCCATGATTTTTGCTCAGAGGCCGGGGAGGGGCTGATACCAGATTTTTTTGAACTGCATCAAGGAGGCTTCTTTCAAAGAGATGCAGAACTGCAGGCACTTAGGGATCTTTTGTCCCGAGTGCTGACCTTTGAAGATGTCGATTTGAATGATAAAACGCAGTATCTATTGAGCAGGAAAAATGATGCAATTGCTGTCTCGCAGCATTTAACGATGGGTATGTCTCCAAAGAAGAAACACGAGGTTGTCATTATGTCGGGCATTTTTGATTCGTTGCTTTCTGGCCCAATCGATAAGATTGTGGAGCTTGGCTGCGGGCATGGATATCTTTCGTCGTTTTTAGCCCTGAGTGGCCAAAGAAATAATCGCTCCATCCTGGGAATCGATCTATCAGAGCTCAATTGTCTTGCTGCAAGCAAAAGGCATTTCAAAATCTCCAGAGCAAAGGCATTTAAAGCGACGGCAGAACATGTTAACATCAACTTCCGGCCTGGATATTTTTCGGAGAACTCGCCCAGGGGGCTTTATGACGGAGAGGAGGACAGATGGTCTATTTGGACCTCATTGCACGGATGTGGTAACCTATCTGTATCGATGATACGAAAATGGGCCCAAGAAGAAACGGCAAAAATTCTTTTGCAAGTCGGCTGCTGCTACCATCGGCTAGATGTTCCTGGAAACTTTCCACTTTCAAGGCATTTTTGCGAAATCAAATTAACAAAGGGACATCTAAATTCGGCGTGCCAAGCTCCTCCTGAGCGGAGAATTTCACATAAGGAGATGCTCCTGCACTACTATGGCGCGCTTTTCCATGTATTTTTTGCTGTGTTTCTTGCTTTAGGTCTTTTTGATTCGTATGGGCTGCATTTCCGTTTCCAAGCTGCAGGGTGAATTTGATAGCTCTTCGTTGCCTTTTCTTGGATCCATGAAAGCTGTGCCTGTGCATTTGGGCTTTGGTGCGTTTGCACGCGCCATATTTGGACATGAGCGGAAACCTTTCCAGGGCGGGGAAAAGTTTAAAAACCTTACCGACGCGTGCTTCAACGCAATTCTTCCTGAATTGCAAAGTTCTGACGCATTTCGTAAATTATCGCTTTTGTTTGCAATCCAAAGGTTACTCGGTCCCTGTTACGAGATGCTCATTCTTGCAGATCGTGTCCAATGGCTTCGAGAATTGGGATACATCGGATCGCTAATTCGCATTTTTGACCGAAAAGTCTCGCCCCGTTCCTACCTTGTTTCGGCCTACAAACAACAACTGTACAGTAGCCAGCTAAGTTATTAAACCGTGGCCACAATGCCTCTTAAACAAAACTTTAATGTGGCAAGCCTGCGGGGTTGTATTCGCCACCCCTATCAAATAAGCTGGTTTCCATCGGGGTCAAGAGCAGCAAAAGACGTTGAAGGTGTTTGTTGTAGCGAAAAACTTCATTTAGAGGCTTCTTCAAGTTCGCCACGGATCCTTGCCAGGATCCCGGTTGCAAACTGCGAATATGGGACAGAGGGCACCGGTGGTGTTATCGAAACAACCTTTTCCCGCGATTTATGTCCGGAAATAATACACACGTAGCTTTTGGGAATGCCAAAGGAGCGAGCAAGGACAGAAACAAGCATTTGATTGGCCTCCCCGTCCTGCGGTGCTGCACTTATGCTGACCGAAAGTTCGTCTGGTGTAAGTGCGACAATGCCAGTTCGGCTAGAGTTGGGTCGAACTCGTACTGGCACGCAAAGCGTGCTTGTCTTTGGCCTCCACAAAAAGGGCTCCATGGTGCCAATATTTTAATGTTGAAAATTAATCCGCAATCCAAAACCTACGACATGCCGGTCCACGTTCGTTCAGCGTGATTTGGGGCTCATCGTTATACCGCAAATGGTGGCAGCATGGTAAGCTTAAAGTTTTATAAAACAGCATACGGGCTATGTATAAGTTACTGTCAAATCTAATCGCCACATCCCAATGCAGGGTCAGCGAGTGCTGTTGGCACTAGAACTGCATGTGCTTTTGGACGTAGCAGAAGCAAGCAGCTGAGAGTACTTTTCCTCCCCCAGCTTCATCCTCAAAATATTTCTGGCGGTATTTGATGATTTCCGGATAAGTTGAACCATCCGAATCTTTGCACGCTCCTTTCGCAATGCCTTCTTTGCCTTGTATTTCCGCAGTCTGTTTCCAGTCTTGATCATATGCCGCTTTTTCGTAGACATTTCGGCTGTCGTTCGAACATAGTAGTATGCAAAGCGATCCTTTAACATTGGGCGCTTTTCTGGAAATGTTGGGGCCCTCGGTGTATCATCCAATGGCGAAATTGTAAGGGCAGCATTCTTGTGGAGCAAAGAGACCCAGCAAAGAGGTATGGATCTTGGATATGCACTTTCATAAAAAGAGCCATAAGATGGCTGCTGTAGTCGCTCAAAATGCTCTGGAATAATCGTTTGACCCCCGTTGAACTCGATAAGCTTAAAATGAAGGTGAGGCCCACTCGGCTCTGAAGCAGATGAGGGGCGAACCCGTTGGATGTACGAATGGAACAGCAAAAATGGAATAATGACGCGCCTGATATATATTGAGCCAAGATTTCTCGTAATTGCCTGGTCTCCATTGCGACACACAGATAAATGCGTGGTGGATTGAAGAGGGATCGTGGTTTCAAGCTTGGATACCAATGCCTTCCAATCAACCGAGACACGTCTTACAAATTCATCTGAGTGAAGAGGCATTGCAGCCTCGTGAAGAAGCTTGCGTGCGCGAAGAGCACTCACAAGCACGTCCAAATACACTGCAGACCGCTGCAGCATGGACAATTCGCAAGATTAAAATTGTAAATTTAAAGTTTATTTATTTTTAAATTTAATTACAGGAGTCCTTTTTGCGGGATTGCTGGTGGTGATACAATCCTGTATGGTGGTTGTGATGGTGGGGAGTAGGATAATAATTATTACTTGTCTCCTTTACAATTATTCTTGGCGCAGATATGGTCAAGTTGATAGGTAAAGTTTCTGGAAGGCCGAGTCTTGGGTGGTAGGAGGGTCGTTCGTTTGTGCAACCATCGTCGCAAGGCACATATTCCTTGATGCCAAGCGTGGAAGAATTTGGCGGAATGGTAACCAGGGAAGAGGCAGAGCCACCGCCAAGTATCTTCAAAGGAGATGAAAGGGAATCTTCAAGCGGTTTTTTTCTTTTTTCCATTGCCTCGCGTATGGATTCTCCTCCCTTTTCAAGAGCCTCTCTTCGTGCCACCGCTCTGAAGAGCTTCCTCAAGTACTCGTAATCTGGCCTTTCTTCAAAACGCAATCCGCGGATGTGTGTAAAGAACGCAGCAAACTCTGGGGGGAGTCCTTGAGTTAGTTCTGCAACGCTGACTGCCTTTTTGCATTCAGAGATTCGAGCATATTTGGCATTGAGGGAGGGTTCTGATGGACGTGTTCCCGGTGGTGGCTTTTTAGGCCGACCTAATCCTTGCCATGGAAGCGAGCCGCGAAGGAAATATATAAGGACATAGCCCAAGCTTTCAAGATCGTCTCTGCGTGATTGTTCATATCCCCGATGAGCATTTAAAGAGGCATATCGTGCAGTTCCCGTCAAATGTTTTCCATCGCGAAATGGAATGTGCGCAGATCCTGGTCTCCGATAAGCTTTTGCCAGCCCAAAATCAATCAGATAGACACAAGTGTTGCCATCAATGGTCACCGAATCGGAGGGATCCGTAGTTCGGCCAACAACAAAGTTGTCCGGTTTGATGTCCCGGTGCAAAAAGTAGCGAGAATGGAGCGACTCTATCCGCTGAATCTGCACGATAAACAAAATATAGCACCGTACCATTTGATCGGCTAGGATAAGCACAATAGGGAGAGCAAACAATCTACTGGACCTATTGAAAAGCTCCTCAAGAGATGGGCCTAGAAGCTCCATTACCAAGCTAGAGTCGCCTTCGGCTTCTTCCTCGAAAAAGGCGTATATTCGAGGCATGCAGGCTACATAAATAAGATCAAAGTCTCTTACCGACGCCTTGAATCTCACGATATACATGGGCCTCATATGCCAATTGGCGCACCTTGATGGCTTTGGGCTCAATCTTAATGGCGATTGGAGAACTTGTTACTATATCTGTGCCTGAAAAGATGGTTCCAAATGCTCCTGCGCCGATTTTGGCAACCACCTTGAAGCGATTTCCTATGAGCCGTCCAAGGCAACAGCCTTCCCTTTGGGGCTTTTCGTTCCAGTGTTTATCCGAAGTGGCTGCAAGGGCAGCAGATGCCTCGCCCGCCTCAATGGTTTGCACACTTTCTTCGTTGATTGGCGAGGACATTTCTGGATTAAGAGATGCTGATCCCTTTGGTATCATTAATAAAGATATGGAAATTTACTTGTAAATAAATTTAACCCTTTACATTGGCAAAATGTTTTCACTTGAGGGCTTTTGAAACGAAATTTAATTCCTCAAATTTACCATTTATTTCGATCGCCAATTTCATGGCACGCTATAGCACGGCAGCTGGAAACTCCGGCCACAGAAGCCAGCCTCACCAGAATTGTGTACATGTAAGCGCGAACTTTACATGTACACGCCAAAATTCGGAGACATTTGGCAGGGTAATTTTACCGAGCCAGATTGATTGGGATTTGGCCGACAACCAATCAAACGGAAAAAGTGAAAATAGGCTGCGCTATCCAATTTTTAAGGTACATGGATAAACACATGAAAACAGTGTTATGCTACACCAGTGGAATCCTGATCCTCGTGCTGATCATGCTGTTCATTATTGTAAAGATGGTCAAAAAGAAAAGGAACAGAGCTGGTCGCACGAAGGTTCCTGAAGAGTTGGAAGAGCCAAACGGGAAATCGATCGGAAGGTTGGGAGTATTTAGTGACCAGCCGCCAACGATCAGGCTTTCCGAAAGCAGCTTTGTCGGATTTGTAGACGATTCGCTCCACTCGATCCCATCGAGCCCATCGGTTTACTATGACGCGGCAGATCGGTCGAAAACGCCATTCGAATCGGATAAAGCAAAGTTTCCTGCAATGGTATATCCATGGGCATTCCGGCTTTCGCAATTGACCACCATAGATGCACAGCTGAATAGAAACACCAACCCTTGGTCTGTAAATATGAAAAAAATGTAAAAATAGAAAATAGAATTGGCAGCCAATAAATTTAATTGAAACATTGAAGTGTACAATTTTATGAAAGATGCATGTCAACATTCTGCCATAGCTCTTGTAAGTTCGGACTCCGGGCCGGAGTCGGGAAATATCAACGATATCGATGATGAGCTAGAGTCTATTTACTATGAAAATTCAACCCTTTTCTCTCAGATTGAAAGCGAATATTTGAAAACGATTTCGGACGCCACCAACACGCCAACATCGCAGCAATCGAGCCCCCGTGGCCCTCCAGCATTGGAGGCGCAAACAAATCACCATACAAAGAGCAATAGCGACTTGGTTCATCTGTTTAGCTCATCAAGCGAAGATGAAAAGGAGATGGTGGAGCTTCTTTTCTCTGATCACGATCAAAATTCCTGCGAGTTTGGTGGAGAATCGCAAGATCTTATTGAGCCTTTTTCTCTAAAATTTTCAAACCAAAATGAGTACACTTCTTTTGAACGGTATTGGTATTCGGACGAGGATCTCCCGCCCTTAGAAACTGTGACCACACTCGATATCCTTAGGAATACACCATCCTTGGCTTACATGTACGACTTTTTCTGCTCCAAAATATCCACATGATCGCCAAAGTAATAAAACAAAGCATTCGGCATTGATTTGCCTAATAGGCAATCATATGCGATGCCAATTACAACGAATCATTGCATCCATTCGTGGCATTGTTGTGCTGGCAATATTTTTTTGAATTAAGAATTTAATAGGCCAATGGGGCTTTTTTTTGCAAAAATGAATGCCCTTTGCATTTCCTTGGTTTTATTCATTTTTTTACTGTTGGGGCTATTGAGAGATATCGGGGCTGATATTAAAGTCACTGCTGAACTACTTGTATATGACCCAAGAATAGAGCAATACTTTTCACTCAAATCTTTCGTTAAAAAAATTCGATTGGAGCTTAATGCAGAGTTACAAGTCATCGTGAAAAAGACAGTTTTGCCGACCATTTCAACAAAACTGAAGATACTTCGCGTAAATTCAGATCGCAGCGAAGATAGAAAAAATATACAAGACAAAGAAACACTTGATTTAGTTTCCATTAAGGGCGGCTCAAACATGTTTTTCGACCAGCTTTCAGGCGAGCTTCACTCATGCTTTGGCATTCCATTTCCGCAAGAAATGTTTGAGCATCCATATTTTCTTGAAAATGAAGTGCCTTTGAGTAAATTCAACCACACTTGCCGTGAGGTGTCTGTAAATGTGAGAATCGATGACTTTGAGCCGACCAATGTGTCTCTGTGGATATGGAATCACTTGCCCGGTTTTGAGGGAAACTCTAGCGATTATCGGGTTCACATTTTTACATCAGAGGCGCAAAAAAATTCAAGCTTACAAAAGGAGCATCCACAACAAGGAAAAAATACCGCGGAAAAGAAACCAAAGAGTCTTTTTTCGAAAATTCGCAAGCAAATGCACGAAATACTGCCTTATGTTCAAAAGGATACCATTCAGCCAAGTGTAAGCTTTATAGATCTTTTCAAGACTCTTCCCGCACTGGATCGCACCGCCTTTGCACGAATGGTTGTACAAGAGAAAGCCAGGGTTATTCCCAGCCAGCCCTGTCCGGATCCAAAAACCGAAGCATTTATTCTGTCTTCCCTTTACGGTGTTAAAAAACCGGTAGCTATATTTACTGAAGAAATTTCAGGTCATTCTGCGCGAAAGCAAAATTCGACAGTAACAACAAGTTTCATGTTAAGCGACTCACCATTGAAAAAAGAAAAGACCCCTTTGAATCAGTTTATTGAACATATATTTCTGGTAGAAAATTCCGCAGCAAACGGTCTTGCTATAGCTCCATTTGGTGCGTCTATATGCTTGATTTTTTTGGGACTGGTAATATAATTGGCGAGACCATTAAGGCTCGCACAAATCACAAAGAGGGCTATTAAAACTTTAAATTATAAATGCTAAACAGAGAGCAGCGTGTTTTCCAAATTTAAGCTTGTGGTGGATCAATGCCACGCATTTATGGCTCGGTTCTTTAATCTATCAATGCGCTCTTCTATTTTTTAGCAGCACACATCAACGTATTGACCAATGGATGCCAGTTTGGCTAAAATTACACTGATCCTCGTAAAGTTTATAAAAATGAGCACAAGGCTAAGGTTATACCTTTCGCAGGCAATTTCGGCAGGTACTTGATAGATCGCTTTTTCTGGCATCCTTGTTTCAATAGGCGATGCATACCCCCAATATGCGCACCAGCAAGATGGGGCGTTTGACCTCCGGCGCTCACTTGCCCATTTCTCATTTGGTGCAGGTTTTGTGGTATTTATGGCTGCTAATTGCTGCCATAGGGACCTAGTGGATACGCGTGGCATAGCTATCTCGAACGTATTATTACCATGCGTAAGATACGGCGGGCTTTTTTCAGTAAGAGAACGACGCCTCTTATGCCTCAATAGGGTCGCTTTTAAGAATGATGGCGGATCAGCTTATTTTTGCGCCAATCGGTCTGGGAGTCTATTTTCTAATCACAAGTGAGCTGAAAGAAAAATCCTCAAACAAAAATGCAAACACATACAAGGATGCACTTCTGGCCAACTATACAGTATGGCCATGGCTGCAGCTGATAAACTTTTCTTTTGTTCCGCTTACATTGAGGGTGCCATTTATTGGATTGGCATCTATTGGGTGGAACGCTTATCTTTCAAATTTGCGATTTAAATAATGTGCGTAGCCTTACTCACCCTAGCGAATGACCTTTCGAAAGGGTGCCTGGAGGCCACAAAGGTTCGCAAAAACCCTCTTCAAATTTAAAAATAAAAATATTTGCCCAAATTCAATTTGCTTAAATGCCTCTTGCCCCATCAAGGGTTGCATCTTATTCCAGCGCTTCCTGGTTTGCCAATCATGCCACAGACCGCTTTGTAAAGGATGCCCAACAATCGGGATATCGCGCCCGCTCTGCCTTCAAACTGCTCCAAATCCTTGAGAAGCATCCCATTATAAGGCCTGGCATGACCATACTTGACTGCGGAGCAGCTCCTGGCTCCTGGAGCCAAGTGGCCGCCAATGTTCTCAAAAGCAATGGAAGAATATTGGCAGTCGATCTGGACCCAATTGGGCATATTCCAGGCGTATCTACTCATCAAGCGGATATTACCTCCGATTTTTTCAAAAAGGGCTTCCTTCCAAACTGGCTGGGTGAAGGCAAAAACAAAGGGAACCAAATTGATATAATTATCTCGGACATGTGCCCAAACATCTCTGGAGTCGGAGATCTTGATTCTTTACGCTCTGTAGAGTTGGTTTCGCATGTGTTGGAAATCGCAAAACAACACCTGGCAAAGGGTGGCTCTTTTTTGGCAAAAATATTTACTGGAGGGCATGAAAGGGATTTCAAAGCCATGCTACTTGATAGCGGCTTTCAACGGATAAAAGCAATAAAGCCGCCTGCAAGCCGCAAAGGCTCCTCTGAGATTTTTTTTCTTGGTCGTGATTTTTGTGCCTCATAGTCGCTTTCTAATTCTTTTCTGCACTTGCAACTGCTTCAAAGCGTTTCACTAGTTGGAGAGCGCAATTTTGGCCTTTGCTTGCTGCTTTATGCTTGCCACTTGCAACCCTAGCCTTTCAAATTGCTTAAAATAAAATATTTCGGCCATTGGACAAACATCAACACAACGCGGCCCTGATTGGTCCCTCCAGATAAAAACAGGATCTTTTCCGTATTCGGTTCTTTAGCCTCATGACAGCGAAGCAATCCTTTTCCACAAGCTATCTGCTTCCTTCCCCTGAATTAGGTGTACCTAGGGGGAAAATAGAGCCTGCCGCTGCGCCCGCGAATCGGCATCCTACAAAGCCACTTGAATTGGATGCTATTGGACCTCAGGCCCATTGGAATCACGAGGTTCACCCGCGTGCATTTACAAGGATGCTGCATTCTCCTTTACCACAGTGGAGTGTCATTCATACATGCACAAGGCAATTAAACGTCCCTCCAAACGACGATGTCCTTTCATGCCGTAATTACGGAGCGTCGAAGGGGCTTGATACCAAAGAACTTGTGCAAGTTGTACCCTCTTCACAATTGGCAGCATTACCGGCATCATCGACGGAGCCTTCAAATTTGCAAACTAAAAAATCTCAAAAGGTTTTCAAGCTTGAAAGTTTGATTGCAGACCATTTACATGCTGAAGATCCAATTAGAAAACACATTGAAAAGGGGGCAAACGGTGGGATTCAAGTAATGCAGTGGAAATTTATGCGCAACGCAAGATTGACTACCAGCGCATTTTTGAAGGCTGTCGATGAAATTGCCGCTCTGGAATCTTTTAATTGTCCAACAAAATCCACTCGTGATGAAGAAATGGATGTTCATATTATTTCGCGCTCCGGAATCAGAAGTATAGAGTCCCTTCCTTTAGATGATCCTAGACATATAATCACACCGGACACTGTTAGCGCATGTTCCTTTTTCCGTCTTTTCGACATTATAAAGGTGGGGCCCTGGAAGATCGTTTCTGAGCTAGGTTCAGGATCTACTTCAAGGGTCAAACTGGCCGTTCATGAATTGACCGGGGTAAAAGCCGCCGTAAAAATCATTCCACGCGAAATTCGGGAATCTGTCGTTACATCTGAAATCTTGGCGGCCCAAAAGGCGCTCGATAAAGCATATGAAAATGAACTGAAGGCTGCAGGCAAGCATGTGCCTGGCAAGGGAAAGGCTGCGCCAGAACCACGTGCTGTTCGTGATACACGCATTCACAGGGAAATTTCAATGTTAAAAGTGCTTACAAGCTCTCAACACCCCTCGATTCTAAAATTAAAGGACGCCATTTGGGGTGAGCGGCTTGTTTTGCTGATCCTTGATTATGCTCCGGGAGGATCTCTTTTAACCCGGCTAACATCCAAAAAGGGCCGGTTTTCTGAAGAAGAGGCTCGTCCCATTTTCAAGTCTCTTTTAACCGGAGTGGCCTTTCTTCATTCTGCTGGAATTGTCCATCGAGATTTGAAAATCGAAAACATTTTACTGGATTCGCAAGAGAGGCAGTCTTTTATCATTGATTTTGGCCTTGCAAACTTTTTTTATTCCATGGCTCTTGAAGTGTCTTCTTCGCATTCGCAGATGAACACAGGCTTTTCTGCAGCTAATGATGAAATTTCCAAGTTAGCCCAATCAAAAAATTCGGTATCATCACCATGTACTGGCTCTTCGTTCCATTTGCTTGATACATTTTGTGGCTCCCTTTATTATGCAGCACCAGAGCTGCTGGCAGGCCGCGCATATCCTGGGCCTGCAGTTGACATTTGGTCTTTGGGTGTGATCCTTTTTGCAATGATCGCCGGAAAAGTTCCATTTGATGTACCTGGAGATCGGGTATCTGCTCTTCATGCGCAAATTATAAAGGGCCAACCGTTTTCGGCCCTTCCAGAAGGCTCCTCTCCGGCCTTTGTTAACCTGATTTCAAAAATGCTCAAAGTGGACCATAAAGTAAGATCTACAGCCAGGGAGTTATTAATGGAAGACGCTTGGATACTGGCTTCTTGCACTTCGGGCTTAATCTGCACAGAACTCGCGTGTATTCCCTACCCTTCTGATCAACCCCGTTGGGGCCCAAAAATCCCGGCATCTAGAAAACATTGCTGTCGAGGCAGGAGTGTTGATTTAGAATCTGAATTCCAGAATTCAAAGTTTGGCAACATGCTCGAAGCCTCCAATAGCCAGGAAAGTTTGTCGAATGGTGGGGCCGGTGTTGATTTTTTCAAGGCCAGTTTCTTTGACCATGAGCAGGCAATGCAGCCTCACACGTTTTCGAATCAATGCTGCTCTTGTTGTTTGGAATTGAAGCGCAATCAATATCAGATCCTTAATGAAGGCCTTTGGGTAACTCTGAACACGCCATTGAATCCGTCGTCTTCAGAGTCTGTGGCCTCCCTTGCGGTTGAAGAATTGGAGATCCTTTTGGCATTTCAATATCCACAACCTCTTTTGAAGGCAACGCTCGAGTCTTTCTTTAAAAATAGCAAAAAAGTGGCCCCATGTTCCCCAATGTGTCCTTGGCCTTTGGTTTCTTTGTTTTTGTTGGTCATTCTTAAGAGTAATAATCAGGAAATTCCGATCCTTAGGAATGGAGATCTATGGGTGGTATTTTTTGGGATCCCATCTCCAAAACCGCCCATCAAACTACTTGAGGATTGTAGAGAACAGATTCTTGCCGAGCTAAGACCGGTAGCACCGAGCGTAAGTGATATGCAAAATCCAGAGATTCAGGCCCTTTCTTATAACTTGAGAACCATATACCTTAATGGCCTGTTCAAGGTCGAGTTTCTTTCTGGTTGTTCGTGGCGCTCCCAAGGTGAAATGCTCGACAGATTGGCCTTGAGCTTGGGGCATCTCCCAGGCGTCATTGGTGGCGTTGTTCCGGTGTCGATTTCAAGGTTCACACATGAAGATGCTATTAAATTGAGAAGCAGCTCGCTCTACCATCCCTCATATTGCAAATATATTGTTACATTACAGATTCCTCCCGATGATCGTTGGAAAGAGGCAAAGGAACTTTCAATCCGGTCTGTGTCCGGAAAACCGCTCCAAATATTTCCAATGATGTCAATGAGTGTCGAAATGGTAAAGGTTTTCTGGACCCAATCCTATGGTCTTATATTCCAACATTTCTCTGGATCTTTGGAAACATTCTATCAAATCAAAATGCTCATTCATAGCCTCGTTGAAAAGGGAAAAGTTCCAGCTTCCGGGTCCGTGATGGGTTTTTTACATTAAGATTTTGATTGCAATTTAGTGCCCAGTAACTGGATAGGCTGAACGACGGCCATATTTGTTGAGGCGCCGTTTTCCGAATCGCTTTTTGGGCACACCACCATCCTAATATCTTAACCCTTCATTTATTTAAATCAGGTCTGCGCGGATTTGGGGTTGTTAGCCATTTTTTCCAGCTCAGCAGCTCCGCCAATAAACTTACCATTAACAAATACAAACGGAGATGTAGTGTATTTCTGTATTTTCCGTTCTGCCCGCAACATGGTGGCTTTTGCTTGCCAGTTCTTTTTTTCTACTAAACAAACCATGATGCTATTTTTTGTGGCCATTCTTTGTGCAGTTTTTTCTGCTTTTTCCGCGTGTACACATCCGCGAAACCCATAAATCTCAATCTCAAACTTAAAAGCCGCCATGCCAGAGTTAGAAGCCTCTATATGCGGGCTAAAAATCCGATGTATAACAGATGACATCAGGTTGGTGCCATAGAGGTGTATAATCCCCAAAATAATTGAGAAAATGGCGAAAGCAACAAGAAATTTTGAAGTCATGTTTGGTGAAGTCGGAGTGTGCATCTCTAGCGGGTATGTGTTTGAAAAGATTGTTTCAAATAACTTTAATATTTGGATCTGCGAAACCAGAGTGCTTTTCGCCTTTTTTCGAAAAGTTCAAAGCTGGACACGATGTGCGATAAAATGTTGAGTTTGAATTCATTTTGTCCAAAGTGCGATTCCCAAATCGGCAAAAATTTCGGATTCCGGGGTGGCGATTGTGGTTGGTAAAAGACACAATTGCAGGGTGCTTAAATACGGGGAATACGTTCAGAGCAATAAAGAATGGCAAGCAATTTTACTAAAAGACACGGTCGCACAAACACTTGGATTTCAATCGACACTTATTGATCTCCTAAATTGAGCTACATTCGAGTTTCTCGATTTATTGGACTATTTTGTGGCTACATATAATGCATGCATACATTCTGGGCATACACATCACATAAAAGGGCCGAATGTGAATCGATTTTTTATATGGGACCGAATCCATTTTTTAAATTTCCTTGTGTTACCAATGAACTTATCGTTGATAAAAATGATTGGCGAATACCTATGTAATTCTTTTTTGGTTTTCCTTTGCAGATTTTCCACTGTATTGTTCCAAAAGAAAAAATGACTAGCTTCTATCTTTACGATGTTGTCTTTAGGTAGTTGCTTTGCCATTTTCACTGCTTTGTTAAAGTATTCGCAGCCAGTATAGCCATAAATTTCAATTTTTGCACCGCCACCTTTTTCTTTATTAAAGCTATAACTAAAAGAGAAATGCAAGGCAGATGTCAGAATGAAAATACAGGCAAGAATTGAAACACGGAGAAGGAAATGCTTTTTATGCATAGAATATCCAAAAATTTCACCCGTAATTCTTTATATGCTCATATTGTTTCATGATCATACAAACTCATCAAATAGAATTTCAGGTCTTTGAAAATATATTTACTTGTGGCCCTCCTCCCAATAACACACTGCTTTTTAGATTAAATTCGCTTTTAATTGCTCCTTTTTCTGAGTTAAGAACTTTGCCTCATCGAAACGCGCCATATGCGTGAGCCGTAATGTAGTGTCCAGTCGGCTTCATCATATGTATGACAAAAAATAAATCAAAATTTTATTCGTACAGTTTATGGGATGAAAGTTGACAAGCAGAAATAACAGCCTGCAGAAAGAAGGCCAGCACATGGAATGGTACAAATCCAACTTGCGCAAATATCGCCAATTAACCGCCAATTGACCGGTTTAGGTGGATTTGATAGTTTGTTAACAGGGGATTGATGACTTTCATTAAGCCCAAGGGCCACGATTGCACCAACTTTACAATGGGTTGTGGATACAGAAAGACCAGCGATAGAGGCCCCAAGCACTGTGATCGCCGAGCCCAGCTCAATTGAAAAGCCCTTTGAGGGGTTAATTGATGCTGTAAGTTTGGTTCCCAGTGTTTCGATCACACGTGCTCCCCATGTAAATAGGCCGACAATCATTCCAATACTCCCAAAGGTAAGAAGGCCATAAAGTGCAGGGGAGTCCGATGTCATCATTGGCCTTCCATTTGCCATTAAATAGGCATTAAGGAGGCCAAAAAGAGGCCCCACGCTATTTGAGATATCGTTTGAACCATGGGAAAACGACGTGAATATAGCCGAAAGAATTTGGAGAATCGAAAATAACTGCTCGACGTCATCACCGGAAGGGGCGATGGGAGAATCTTTGGGATTCAGCTGTTTTCTAGAATCAATGATCGACTTTGTCCAAGGCACCACAATCAGACGGGCAATAAGAAGGGTTGAAATAATGAGGACAAAGATTGTTCCTACTAAAAGAAGAAATACTGAGAAGGAGAGTGCAAGCTTGTAATTTAGCTGATATCCAATCATGGATAGGTTGACCCCAATGGTAAGGGCATAAATGTATGGAATTGATTTAAGCCCAACTGTAAATGGATCCTTTCTATTGAGAATAAATCTTTTCAGGAGAACATAGGCGAGGGACGAGAACGCCCCCGAAATAACAGGCGCAAGAACCCAAGCCAATGCCATGTGCGACAGTAAAGACCAACAAACAGCAGAAGAATTTGCTATCATTCCAGCCCCAATCATGGCGGCAATGACTGCATGCGTAGCGGAGACGGGGAGCTTGAGATAGGTTGCAAACGCTAGCCAAAACGTAACCGAAATAAGAGAGGCTAACATCGCATAAATCATCTCTTCTGGCGTCAAAACGCCAGGCGTAAGTGTTGCCCGGATAATCTTTTCCGTAACTAGACCCCCTAAGCAAACGGAACCGGCCATTTCGGCTATTGAGGCGATAATGAACGCGGTTCGAAGACGCAGAACCTTGGCACCAACTGAAGTTGCAAATGCGTTCGAGACATCGTTCGCACCAAGTCCACACGCGAGGAAGAAGGATAGAACAAATGCCACCACAACAATGGCAATCAGAGGCAGCATGCAAAAGCAAAATAAAATAAATTAAAAAGTCGAACTCCAATTGGTTGCCAATTTGAAAAGTCGGATCGCTTAAATTCCGTAATTACACGAGCCCGCAACGACGACATGCGTACCGATCAATTTCGTGCATGTGTCCAGTTTCGCCAAAATATCAGCGCCTGCTGGTAACTTTTCTTGGCGGCTTGAAATTTTAAGGACATTGCACAGGGCTCCGCGAGCTTGTTTGAATGTTGCTCGATTACACACCATTATGAATTGCTAACCCTATGAACAAACATCGACATAACCCATCGACGATATGGCTGCAATCACAGAGGATGGCGTTCAAAAAGATGTAAATTGGTATTTTATTGCAATTATAAAACGATGGCAGCTCCAAGAACAAAAATGGGAAGCAAAATCACAGTGCCAATCCAAGAAAGCGTATTCGCATACGCAGCCGAAGCGGTCTTATTGAGAGAACCCGGAGGAAATGCATTGAGATTTATAATTTCATTGGCGCCATCATCTCTACGAATGTTCTGCACAGATGCGTCTTGTGAAGTCGGAAAAATAAAACCAAGGTTGCCAATGTCCGCTTTTTCTGCTATTTCCAGACTTCCTTCAAGGGTATCTCCTTTTTCACCAATCAATGCGCCTGTTGGGGTTTCAGAGTCTTCCAACGTTGAGTCAAGGGTGGAATCTATGCTGATAAACGAATTGGGGCCTCTTCTCACAACCGTAACATATTGTTGGCAACGAATGGGAAGCCTTAGAGTAGCCTTGTCATATAAATATACGTTGACAGGGTAGTGAGTGAGCCTCCTTCGTGAAAGCAAGCCATGACTAAACTGATGAGAAGACAGCGACGAAGAAAGAGACGAGTGGCGTTGGCCTTTTGTGTAAAAATTGTCAAGCCCGCGGCAGCCACGGATATCGATCATGGAGTCATTAAATGCGGCAACATTGATTTTCATTAACGGTTCAATGAAAATTGATGCCACGGATCTTTCAAATAGGAAGGCTCTAGATGCATCAAAAAGCTCTGCAGATGCCTGGTCATGCAAAATGCCCTTTGAACGGCCATATAGACGGACCTGTGCATTATCTAGGACAATAGTGCGTGTATCATCATAGAGGTCCGCTTCTGCCCAATCAAAAGCAATCAAAGTTGATCTTCCATAAGCCCAACCTTCAGCGCAACCAAACAGCTTTGCAAAGGAGGATTCAAAGCCAAAAAGGGAAACCTTTGATGCGGAAAGCGCATACACAGGACAAACGGTAGCCAAGTTTGATTTCGTTTTTAGGACAATGGAAGAAGTGTCGTATGCGATTATTGTTTGGCATTTATGAGGCAATGAACCCGCTCTGTCAAGCGAGCCAAATTCGTCGCTAAATTCATCAACATCGTGATCCTCTTCGTATTTTACATTCCCTCTAATCTTGGTTATGCTGGTTGAGCAGGCATTTAGCGAAGAACTAGAGGAAGGATCTGAAGAGCTAGAGGACGAACCAGATGAGCTCGAGGATGGGCTCGAAGAGCTGGAGGATGAACCAGATGAGCTCGAGGATGAGCTCGAAGAGCTGGAGGATGAACCAGATGAGCTAGAAGACGGGTCCGAAGAGCTGGAGGATGAACCCGACGAGCTAGAAGACGGGTCCGACGAGCTCGAGGATGAGCCCGAAGAGCTGGAGGATGAGCTAGAAGACGGGTCCGACGAGCTGGAGGATAAACTGGAAGAACAAGACTTTGAATCAAAACCACTGGTCGAAGACGGGCCAGAGCTTGAGCTACTGGTGGTAATTGAGCTTGACGAGTCCTTTGTGCTGAAAGAATCGCTCGAGTCAGATCGACTACTTCCTGAAGAGGATGACTTTGAAGTTGAGCTCGGATCAAATTTCGAGTTGCTAGAAAATATGCTGGTAGAAGGAGTATCGAATCCATTTGAAGATGATGACGATCCTTGGCTGGTCATATCACCGGATGAGATCTCGGTTGTAAATGGAAAATCCGAGTTTTTACGACTTGAAGATGAATGATCAAAGCCCTTGAGGTTTGCATTATACTCGGTATTCGAAAACGCATATGAATCTGAAGGGGCAAAGGGAAGCGAAGGAACACTTGTGCCTAACTCATTGGATAAAGGAGCTTCTGTACCATATAAATTTGAGGGATCAGACCTGCATGTTTCAGGAAAGTTGATTGGACTTGAAGTGGAGTGCTCAAATTCTCTTTGAGAGGGGCGCGTAAAGGTACTGGTATCTTTTCCAGGAAAGTTGGATGAAGACAAAGGGAACGGAGATGAAAACAGTCCATTTGAAAGATCTGTGGGACTATCATCCCCCCTTTGGCCCTGTTCCGATGATCTTCGTACTGATGGGTTGAAGGTAAATCTTCCCGATGGTTTTACCGACGAAAAGTGATCTTCAAAAGCCTTTTCAAACTTTGAAAGTAAATTCACTTCAACGGATAGCGAATGACTTGGGAAAAATGGGGACGATGAAAACGAACTAATCGGCCCCGACGCTTGCCTAGACAAAGGGCTAAGTGTACTGCTTTGGAATGGATTTGAATACAGCGCCTCTGCTGGGCAAAAATTTCTCCTGGCTTCAACAAGCAAGGATCCAAACAAAAACCAAGTCAAAAAAAGGCTGAAAATGTATAACATTCTAGTATAAGATAAATCCCTTGCAGACGGTACTATTTATATGCAGGAATCCATCATGTCCATGATAAACGACTTTCAATAAAATGTCAGCGGTATATTAAAATTTAGCCAAAATTTAAAGTTCATTAATCCTCAAGATGCCCTCCCATTTCTTGAAAAGGTCAACATCGGGCAGAAGAAAGCCAAAGCCGAAAGATGGGAATCAAATTACCGTTGTAAAAGAAGACGTTTCCAAAGAAAACATTGAAAATGACCCTCCCGGGCTTAATACAAACACAGAATTCGCCCACAATGGATCAAGGATTTCACAATCGCCTGTTTTCAATGTTGATACATGCGAGCAACGTAGCGAATCGCCCCCATGCCTGAAAGATGCGGAGGTTGAGCAAAAAATCGAATTAAACGATACTATTTCTAATCCCTTAACCGGAAATCATTGTACAGAAACCACGCAACTGCAAACCATATACACCGAAAATGACCTGCACACAGTTTATTTTGAGCTGCTAGAAAAGTATAAATCGCTACTAGCTCTCCGGAAAAGCTCGCCAGAATTTCTGTTTAACGAATACAAAGAAGCTGCAGAAAAGAGATTCAAAGGTTTGCAATGCCATAGCTAATCCATTCTAGCCTCGGAATCTCTAATTGAAAAGCTACAGAAGGAGCTTCAATGCCATACTTGCAGCTCAAATACAGACGAGTCGTCTCAACATGATAGGGCTGGCAAAAGAGCTTCAATTGGCTTGACACCAAACGACTCGATTCTCGATTTATATGGGCGCATGTTTGGCATCACCATAACCCCAACGCCGGGCGACGATATCTGCTGGAAGATATCGATGCTGATTCCGACAAAAAATGGGGGCTCTTTTGAATTTTTGTTAAGAGAACAAATGATGCAGGACGATGGGGAGCCTGCCCCGAGAATGATGGAATACATTCCAATAACCCTTGCTTCGAATAATCAATGCAGAGAGCAATGCTTGAGGGGACTGCCAAAAAACCCGCCATCCTATTTGCTGGAAGAAATTGCATTCAAGTCTTCAGCGCTGCCCATTTTCATGTTTAACCTTGGCAAATGGCTGCGGTCGTCGGTGTCAACAATGCCATCGATGCTCGGCAACGAGGCCGGTGTTTGAATAAACCCACAAACTCGCAATTTATTAGGTCGGAATTTTCAATTTTAGCTGCAAATCAACGATCACCCCCAATGCTCAACCCCACCGAGCAAGAGCTTGTACACATTGCTCATCATACGTTATGTGTAGAAGGAAGAAGTTACGCTGTTTTCCCAAGGTCCGATAAAGAAACTGGCCCGCATACATCAAACCCTTTCATTATGCGAAAAAAGTATTTTTCATCCACACGTAATTGTAGACATAAGCAATACGAGAGAAAAGCTGGTCCAAATTTCGAACGCCATGAAGGTTCCAAACGAAGCGGACATCCAAGTTATTTCAAAGCCAAATTTGATGTACCCGTCTTTTTTATCGCCCAACATGTAGGAATGAAGCTTCGTATGATGAATTCCTTCAGTGTCTGTTGAGGCTTAAAGAGGCTTCCTGTTGCCTTGAATTGTGGTCCATTTGCAGCGCCATCAAAGAAAAACATTCCGACCAGGTAAGCTGGCATTGCACCGTATTTCAAGAAAAAACTGCTCAACAGGACGTTGGCAGATTTGGAGACCCTATTTACAACCGAGCTTTCGAAGGCTACGGACCAACACCCAAAGCTGCATTCAAGGCTCGGAAATTCCCAAAAAAGGTAACATCGATCGCTTTCTTTTAGCCAAGAAGCCTCGATGGTGCATATCGACTGCGAAGGTAATGCGAATGCAATGGCTAATGCAAGAATACGTGATTTCGGAGCACAATTCCAAATTTTTGTCTTTGATTGCCAAAATCATTACAACTTGCACGCTACAAGGAAGGGTGGAAAAGATTTCAAAGGACATCCTTCTAAGAAGCATCGGATACTTTTCGTCTTATCTTGCCATTAGAAGCTCTTTTGCAAGGCTGGAAATTGATTTTTACAAAAAGCTGCTTCCCGACGCGACAAAGTCTTTCATTTCGGTGCTCAAATTGATCATTGCCATTGTGAAGGTATTTTGGCGTCGGTTTCTGATTTCCAGGCAGAGACAACGAATACATCTAGAATTTTCCCCGAAATCCTGCAATCAAACGACATTCTGGTGAAGATCAACAGCTGTATACTTGAAACACTGACGATCGAGTCAAACACCTTCTTTTCGAAGGTTAAAATGGAAAGCAACAATTCTGCATTTAAAACAAGCGAGTCTTTAAAGATCTTGGCGGAGCTGTCGGAAATTGTGTCCAAAGAAAGCCCATTTGATATCTTTGTGCGTTCCTACGTTATAACGTGTAGATTCCCATTTTGGATAAGCTTCTTCGCGAATTTGAGGAGCATTGCAAAGAGCTCATTTTAAGTAAGCATATAAAGCACTTGTCGGATCTTTCCAATACGCCGCCGCCATTTTTGGCGCCAAATTGCAAGCTGCCCGAAGCTCTGAAAACCGTTTTCAACGACTTTCTCGGTATGGCCATTTATGCATCCACCATCGACTGCATCGAGCTTTATGATAAAAGAACCCCGCCTTCTTGGATTCACTTTAGTACCATTTTCAACGACCATTTGAAGAAACTGCGGAATTCCGAAAGATTGACCAGTAAGATGCTATTGCATACTTTTAGTTGAAACTTTTGACATCTCTTTTTCTTTAGTTGACTTGTACACCAATGCGTCGTATTGTCCGCTAAAGAAGCCAATCCAGCGGGCGCTGTTGCGCTTGAATTGCATCACATATCTTTCGGATGTATTTTTTGAGGATCTCTCCTTGCTTCTTTATAAGGACACCAGGAACGAATGCCAGGTGCTTGCGATTTTCAGAAAATCGCTGCAAAGCAAATTGGCCGCCGTTACCGAGAACGCAATATCAACGTAGGCATATTTCAGCATCTAACTTGGGGACAAGAATAACGGATCCCATCGTAGAAAAGCTAAATGAGGCGTTTGCCTCGAAGGATTCCGTTAAAACTAAAAATGCGCTCAAAGTAAGCATTGACCGTTTTATGGAAGGGCTTTTATGAGCAATTTGAAGAGACCATTTTACTGCTGAACTCCATTGTGATCGAGAATCCCAAAGCCTCTGCAAGCATCACGTGCTCAATTCGGGATCACATTTTGGCGGCATTTAATTCTTTCCTTGCAAAGTAACGGCATACCCCTTTTTATGCTTTCAGGTTTAAAATTGAAATTATCGAGCATCCAAAGTGGCTTCAAATGTCCTCTGAACAGTTGATTGCACTTTTAGATTCGCCATTTGAAAAATAATGCACTTAAATTCGAAAATTAATCACCATAACTCTTGAGTGTCGCCACTCGCCCCATATCCGAAATAGAGTTCTGTTTGTAATTTGTGCCTTGTAAGCTGTGATTTGCAATCGCTTGTGCCTTGCGTGTTGCGATGTTTCCCGGCCCGCATCACACTAAAATGTCAATCTTTGCGGAAAAGTCCGAAATAATGCAAACTTCGCCTGGTGCAGTCATGCATGCGCATGTTGAGTTGGAAATTGATGGATTCGCAATTTTGTTTCAATGAGATTCCCCATGCTCTCAAGCTCATCAAGAATCGACGCCAATCCGTGCTTGTCGATCTCTGACAAAGACCGCGGCAGCTCTGTTCGCATGGAGGAACTCTTCGATGCCATTAGGGCCTTCAACGCCAACATTTCACCCACTTCGGCGGCCAAACTGAAAGAATCCATTCGATTGGTTTCATTGTCTGCAGTTAGCGAAAAAGACGCCATCGGTCCATTGTTATCTTCTGCATTGCTTCAAACGCTCGCCAGAATTTCCGAAGTGAACAATGACGACTACAATGTGATTGCCTTGGTTATTTCAAAGCTGCTGCTCTTTTGTAAGGAAGCTAGCTCGGTCAAATTGAGCATTAACAAGTTCCCAGATGTGCACTCCATCATCCTTTCGCTCCTATTAATGGTCCAATCAATTGTTGACCAAATAGAAGTGGTTTTGCTGCTGTACAAAACTCACGAGAGAAACAAGCCTTATGATCTGTTGCTATTCACCTCAAAGGTCGATGCTACGCAACAGTGTCTTAATGACTGCCTATCGAGACTCAATACGCCCTCGTTTTATAAGGAATGCCGGGGGTTTCTTTATTTCTTCAATAGGAAATTCCAGACCAAAGTGACTTCGGTGTATCTCACCAACTTTGCAATATCACCCTCCGGCATATTTAAGGATAAAATACTGGCCGACATGTTTGCTTCGATGATTTTCATCCACAAATCCGAACTGTCTCTTTCAGATCACATTGTATCTCCCATCGACAAGATTAAAGGCCATTTTAATCACTTGGCAATCAACAAATTCCAATTCCGTATTTCGCTAGGAAATGAAGACCAAATATCGTTTTCCATCATTAATGAGGACCGCTCTGAAAAGCTGGATTCGCTTTTGAAGAGTCTTGAGGTTGGTGTAGATGTCAGCTCATCTTCAGCCAAAAGCTCTCCAAAAAAGAGCTTGAAAAAGCAACATAAAGAATCTTGTCACAATCCGACTCTTTTGCCATCGCCCACAGCATCCAACGCCATGGGCTCGTCCCCAATAAAGGCATCTTATCCCGATTTGGGGCCTATGTCATCTGGTCTAAACGACATCGGATTGATGGGCATAAATGGCAAGTCAAAGTTTGAAATTGACTCTGAAATTGAGAATCTTTCTGCTTCAAAGTTGCGAGATACAATTGTTAACCCCGACAATTTGGGGACCTCTGCTTTCTCCTCTAATGAACCTGATAATTTAATGTCCTGTCAACCTCAATATAGTGACAGGCAATGCTATCAACATTCAGAGCAACCATCTTATCAACTTGAGAGCCAGTCGCCTGCTGTCCTTGCTACTAAACGGATCTCTAAAGCCAAAAATCCACCCCACCACTTACGCTGTGAGGAAAAGTCCTTGAACGACTCAATCTCCTCGATCCTGATTACACCGCCACAAACAATTCGTAAAAGGTCCCGATTGCTAGTATTTTCGTCTAATTTCATCCAGGTATCCCATCAAAATATAAGAAACGCTCTTGCCTCGGCAAAAAGTATGAATGTCATTTTTTATGTTAGAAAAAATAAAGCAACAGATGCTCAATTCAGATATCAGTCTAATTGAGCTGCTATATGAAGAACAGGAAAATATTTGTAACAGGGTCCTTTCAATCTCAGATGCGATCATATAAGGGTGGCCCTTGACCAAGCCAATGACAGAAATAAATTCGGGAAAATAAATCCGAATTTCCATCCATTATCCCGCTCGCACAAGCCAACTTGAATTTGTAGCAAATACTTTGTTTAGCAATTAAATTGTCGGTAGTTGCTGTGGTATGTGTATGTGATGTGGTATTTGTATTCCGTTTCATCCCTCATGTAAAGTCGGTCAATTTGT